TAGTGCCTTTTGTCCAAAAAAGTTTAAAATTTTTGATGAAGTCCAATGTTTCCCCCCTTTGGATGCTTGTGCTTTTGTTCATATCTAAGCAACCATTGCCCAAAACAAGTAAATCTCTTACAGACAGATATATTTGAGTCATGTTTTAAAAATCAATTCTGCCAATTTATGCTTAACAATTAGAGAGTTTAATCCTATGGACATCTTATTTCCATTTAAGCCTTTTGCCCCAACTGTTATCCATCACCTCAGGCAATTGTTGTTGTTGTTAGGTGCCATCGAGTCAGTACTGACTCACAGTGACCTTATGCACAACAGAACGAAACACTGCCCAGTCCTGGGCCAACCTCACAATTGTTGCCACGCTTGGCCAATCCATCTTGTTGAGGATCTTCCTCTTTTTCTCTGTCCCTTCACCTTACCAGACATGATATCCTTCTCCAGCTACTGGTCCCTCCTGACAATATGTCCCAAGTATGAGAGATGAAGTTTGGCCATCTTGGCCTCCAAGGAGCACTCTGGCTGCACTTCTTCCAAAACGGATATATTGGTTTTTTGGGCAGCCCATGGCACTTTCAATATCCTCTTCCAACACCATAACTCAAATGCATCAATTTTTCTATGGTCTTATTTATTCACTGTACAGCTTTTGCATGCATATGAGGTTACTGAAAATATCATAACTTGAGTCAGGCACACCTTAGTCCTCAAGCTGACATCTTTGCTCTTCAACACTTTAAAAAGGTCTTGTGCAGCAGATTGTGCCCAATGCAGTATGTTGTTTCTTGACTGCTGCTTCCGTGAGTGTTGATAGTTGATCCAAGAAGAATGAAGTCCTTGACAATTTCAATCTTTTCTCCGTTCATTAGAATGTTGTTTATTGGTCCAGTGGTGAGAATTTTTGTTTTCTTTACATTGAGATGTAATCCATATTGAAGGCTGTGCTCTTTGATCTTCTTCAGTAAATGTTTTAAGTCCTCTTCACTTTCAGCAAGCAAGGTTGTATCATCTGCATATCGCAATCCTGATGCCATGTTTTTCTTCATAGAACCCAGCTTCTCGGATTATTTGCTCAGCATACAGTAGCAGTGTTGAAACAAATGCCTAAGTGAGTTCTGTATCAGATGAAATGAATGCAAGCCTTTTGAGTGGGACCTTCTAGGAAGCCACAAGATAGGTTAAAAAATAACTTCTTTGGAAATGAATTTGAAAGAGCTCCAACTTCATTCTGCTTCCTATAGTACTAGGAATGCTGGTTGTTATCTCTAGAGCCGCTACTGAGATGTTACTAACAAGTTAAAATGCCACATATCTGTTTTTTACAAAGACCTAGCTTTTTTCCCCTTTTTCCCGGAATAAATACTTCCATGATTGCTGAAAGCCTTTGGTTAATTTCCAGAGTTGAGAAATTCTTATTCTGACCATTTGGGGCCAGTTTTTTCGTTTGTTTGTTTGTTTTTAATTGCTTTTATGGAAGGGAGAAATTTCAAAGGTCCTGACATCTTCATTTTCACTGACATCACCCTAATGCAATATTTCTTAGTATATTTGTTCTTCAGAGCAATCTTACCAAAAAAAAAAAAAATCTTACCTATCTTATAATGGAGAGAATCACTTTTCTCTGTGTATTAGTTCAACAACAGTGAGAGTAACCCAGAATAAGGTAGTTTAAGCAGAATAGTTTACTTTTTCGCTTGGACATCTCAGTTGATATAGCAGCTCTGTTCTCCAAATGCAACAAGATCCTGGCCCCTTTATTCTGGTTCAGTTTCAACCCCCTACATTTCTAGCTGTTGCTCTTGTCACCCACATTTCAGCATCTAGAAGTGGGAAAAGGAAGAGGGTCATGATTCTCCTTTTACTATACAACCCAATGTCCACATCTCTCCCACTCACACCCACTGCTGGACTTGAATTCCATGACCAAAACCAGTGTGGTGTGGCACTGTGGGTTAATACACTGGATTGAAAAGTCAGTTTGAACCGCAAGGTCAGTGGTTCAAGCTCACCAATTGCTCCTTGGAAATCTATACAGGGTTGATATGGGTCAGAACCAACTCGACGGCGCTTAACAACAACAACAACAACCAATTCACGTGGGCTCTTTGGACCTCCCTGGCTTCGACAGTCAAATGGGAATGTAAATGATATTCAGTCACAAATTTGGCTGCTGTAACAGACATACAAAATAACATAGCTTAAATAAAATGGAAAATGTCATCTCTTTTTCATAAAAGTCTTCCTTTATATTCACGGCCATCAAGTTGCTTCCAACTTATAGTGACCCTATAGGAAACAATAGAACTGCTTATTGGGTTTTCAAGACTAAATCTTTATGGGAAAAGACAGTCTCATCTTTCTCCTGTGGAGCGGCTGGTGGGTTTGAACCAATGACCTTGCAATTAGCAGCCTAACACTTAACCCACTACAGGGTTCCTTGTTTTCCTTTATGGTGGTGGTAGTGGTTGTGTGCCAGAGTCAGTTCGGGTTCATAGTGACCCTGTATAGAGTTTCCGAGGCTGTAAATCTTTATGGAAGCAGAAAGCCTCATCTTTCTCCCACGGAGCAGCTGGTAGATTTGAACTACTGACCTTGCAGTTAGCAGTCTAGCTCATAATCCACTATGCTACCAGGGTTCTTTGTTTTCCTTTGTAGGTGGTTGAAATTGAACATGGTCTCTACATGGTGTTGCGAATTTAGCTTCCTTCTATCAAGTTGTGTTCATTCTTTATCTCTTGGTCAAAGATGACTCTTCTGGCTTTAGCCATCGTCTCCAAGTTCCAGCCATTAGAGAAAGAGATATGGGGAAGTTCTCACTTGTTTCTTTTGAAGTCATTAGTCTGAAATTGCCTGCATCATTTCTACTCATATTCCATTGGCCAGACCTTAGTGGCATTACTAACCCTAGTTGCAAAGGAGCCTGGAAAATGTAGTCTTTGGTTGAGCCATCTGTGCCTTCTATAGCTGTGCAAGAGGGGAGAATGGATCCTGAGGGTACAAGTAGCCCAAATTGGCAGGAACCACAATACATTTCATGGTGACATAAGTAATGATGACCAGAGGCAGCATAGTGTCGTGACTTAGAATAATGATTCTGGATTTAAATTCTGATAAGGCTAGAATGGCTCATCGGGATTTCTATGATTTATACTTGTTACTGTTTTTCAGAACATGTTTACCAATATTTACTACCTTTACTTTCAGTGTTTGAGTGAGTAAATGTTGTTTGCTGTTAAGTGCTGTTGAGTCAGCTTTGACTCAGGGGTTTCTGAGGAGTGGTTGGTGGGTCTGAACCACTGACTTTGTAGTTAACAGTCCAGTTCTTATCCTACAGCACCACACCAGTAATACTGTAATTATCATAAAGATATATATCTTCTTCTGTGTTTTAATAAAGGAACATCTGTGCCTTACCAGATATTTGGGAGTAAAAGGAACTTCCTCTGAGCCTCATTTACCTCCCCTGCAAAATGGGAAAATAGCATTCCCACTTCCCTTAGTTTTCTAATGTAGCGGTCACAAATACCACATGTGAGGGGCTTTAACAAGCAGATTCTCTCACAGTGTAGGCTGCCCCAAGTCCAAATTTGGGGCACTGGCTCTAGAGGAAAGCTTTCTGTCTCTTTTGTCATCTATCTTCCCCTGGGTCCAAGAGTTTGGCATTACCGTGACCTTGGTCCACTCCCAGCTCTTCCTTTTTGGTGGAACTAGGTTCCTCCAAACTCTGTTCTCTTGTTTAATAACTTTTATATCTCAAAAGAGATAATCTCAAAATACAACTTAACCCTATAGATTGTGTCATCCTGTCTTGTTAACATAATTGCCCCTACTCCTGGCCTCAGTATCCTCATGTTGTTAAGTGCCATCAAGTCGGTTCCAACCCACAAAAACCCTGTATAGGGTTTCTGAGGAGCAGCTGGTGAGATTGAACCACCAACCTTGCGGTTCAAATTGACTTTGCAGTCTAGCATATTAACCCACAGTGCCACACCAGGTCTCCCATTAACAACACTGTTGTTGTTGTTAAGTGCCGTAGAGTCGATTCCAACCCATAGCAACCCTGTATAGGGTTTCCAAAGAGCAGCTGGTGAGCTTGAACCGCCGACCTTGCAGTTCAAACGGCTTTGCAGTCTGGCGCATTAACCCACAGTGCCACACCAGGACTCCATTAACAATATGGAGGTGACAATTTACAACATATAGGATATTATTATATCAGATCTTAAGATGGAGGATAATTTGCACAATACTGAGGATCATGTCCCAGTCAAGCTGACACATGTTTGAGGGGACACAATTCAATTCATAACACTACTTCAGGTGGTGTGGTTGTGAAGAATAAAGGAGAAATCTTATGTAAGTAGTTGGTCTGACCCATAACGAATGCTCATATCTGGAAATGAGTTCTGTTTTTAATTCTCCAGTGTCTGGAGAGAAAGAACATACATGTGTTTTAAGAACTGATGTTACATATGTCTGTGGACCTCAATAGTATTCATCTCAGTTTTGGGTTGAGATCATCCTTCACCTCATTGTCTGAGCACCCTTCTTCTGCCTTTTGTTATCAGCTGCCATTGAGTTAGTTTTGACTCACAACAACACCAAGTGTTACAGAATGAAACGGCCCCATAGGGTTTCCTGGACTGTCATCTTTACAGAAGCAGATCCAGGTCTTGCTGCTGTAGAGTCGCTGGGTGGGTTCGAACCTCCAGTCTTTCAGTTAGCAGCGGAGTGCTTAATTGTTGCACCACCAGGGATCCTTTCCTCCCTCCTAGATTCTCATTTATCTCAGCGCCCACCACGCAGAAATTGAGCCCACTCCCTGGTTTTACGGAGCAGGAACACCAAGAATCAAAGAGACACAGCCCTTGCCAAAAAGCACACAGCCATTCCAGGGCATGATCAAGGTGTTGACCCAGCCTCCCAGTTCTGGAATTTTTCTCAGGGTTGGGGCTTGCCCCTCACACCTACTGACCCACTCCTCTCCTATTCTTCCCCAGAGTGGGGTTAACAATGGATTGGTCCGTGCCAAAGACTCCATCACCAGCTTGAAGGAAAAGACCACCCGGGTTAATCAGCACGTGCAATCATTGCAGGTGTGGGGGCCCTCCTCTTACACACACATCACTCTTCTTCCTTCAACTCAATGCACCCATACCCCAGTTGGGGAGGTTGAGGCTCAAAAGAGAAAAGGACTTCCCCAGACCCAGCTCCTCCTCCTCATGGAGGGCCCCCTGTGGCTCTGGCTGACCCCTACTCCCCTCCACACCTAGAGCGAGTGCTCGGTACTGAGCGAGAATCTAGAAAGAAGACGACAAGAGGCGGAAGAACTGGAAGGCTATTGTAGTCAACTCAAGGTGGGCCACTGAGGGGCAGAAACTGAGTGATGGTAGAAAGAGTGTATGGGGAGAGCAGAGAAGAATGGATTGAGTGGATTTGAAAGAGGTGGGAACAAGTAGTAGGTAGTAGTAGAGGGAGGTGGCTTAAGCCAAGGGAACATGATCTGTAAGGAGAAGGCAGAACTTGGGGGGAAAGTGGGCGTGTCTGTGTGGGCGGTTGGAGCCTGTATGGAAATAGCAAAGCTAGGGAGTGGGAGGCAGAACTGAAATGGGAAGACAGAGCTCCCACCCTGGTGTCCTGACTCAGGAGAACTGCCGGAAGGTGACTCGGTCTGTGGAAGATGCTGAAATCAAAACCAATGTCCTGAAGCAGAACTCTGCCCTGCTGGAGGTAAACGGGTTCTAGGATTTGAGGGAGGGCATTGGAAGCATGAAGGACTTGAAGTAGACTTCAGGTGGGACTTCTGACCCTGCCACCAACACCACCAAACCAATCCTGTGTGTTTATGGTCATATTAAGCATCTGTTTATGGTCATGTTTAGAATCCATTCGACTTCAAGTGGGAATGTCTGTCCTGCTCACATGTCCACTCAGTTATTATTCTTAAATGGGAGAAACTGGAATTTGTCCCCTTGGAGGACTGGAGTTGGGGCAGAGGACTGAATAGAGACATGCAGGCAAGCATTCTAGAGTTAAAGCGAGTTGGACTTCAGTTAGACTTTAAATGGGACGTCCCTTCCCCAACAGAAGCAAGAGGGACTCCACTTAGATCTCAAGGAGACTTCCCAACATCTAGTCGCAAACCCATTCATTTCCAGTTCTGAGGATTCTTTGGGCAGATTTGGGGGTGGAGGTGGTTGCAAACGCCAAGACCCCACCCTTTCTCCTCACCCAGGAGAAGTTGCGTTATCTCCAGCAGCAACTGCAGGATGAGACGCCGCGGAGGCAGGAGGCCGAACTGCAGGAGTTGGAGCAGAAGCTGGAGGCCGGCCTCTCCCGGCATGGCCTGACCCCTGCCACAGTGTCCCAGGGCTTCTCCGGCCCCCCAGGAAGCCCCGATGAACCTCCTCGGTCCCGCAGCATGGCCCCCGGTGGCTGGGGAATGGCGTCCAGGCCAGGGGAAAGCCCCCTAGCGGGCGAACAGGAGTTGCAGAAAGTCTCTGCAGGTTTAGAGGAATTAAGGTGGGCGGGGCTCAGGGGTGGGACCTCACTAATCTAAGGTGGGCGTGGTTAAGGGGTGGGGCCTAAAGAAGACAAGGGGCAGGGCCCCAAGGAATGGGCGGTATTCAGTGACGGTAAGTGTAAGAACTCAGCTGCTGTAGCCTAGAGTGGTTAGGGGAATAGGACCCAGAGTGGAACCTCCAAGAACCAGAACCGTGGAGACTCTTCTTGGGGGCGGGTGCCTAGAAGGCTGGGATTTCGAAGAATTGGTCTCTTGAGTAAAGACCTGGCCAGAATGAGGTCTGAGGCTGGTGAACCTGAGGTGGGCAGGGCTTGACAGAGGGCAGGTCCAGGATGCACTGAGGTGAGTGAAACGGGGTTCGGGTGAACGGTACCTGCAGGAACTGGGATTGGGCTTGGGGAGGTACACGAGTAGAATCAGGTTAGCTGACAAGGGGATGAAGGCCAACCTTTGGAGGGCATGGGCATATTTCAAGAAATGGAATCACTCACTGCCATCGAGTTGATGCCGACAAGGCACCTACCTATAGGGTTTCCAAACCTTAGGGTGCCTGACAGTGTAGATCTTTATGGGAATAGACAGCCTCATTGTTCTCCTGCAGAGTGGCTGGTGGGTTTGAACCTCAGACCCCGCGGACTAGCATCCGATGTTTATCCCACAGTGCAACCAAGCCTCCTTAAGAAATGAACAAAACTAGAAAATGTGGGGACGGAGCCAGGGGCGGGGTCTAGGCTGGGCGGGGCCTGGGAGGGGCGTGTCCAAATCTTGCCCTGACCTTTCCCTTCCTTTTCTCATCCAGGAGGGATATGTCCTCGCTCACTGCTCGGTGGCATCAGGAGGAGGGTGCTGTTCAGGAGGCCTTGCGGCTGCTTGGTGGCCTAGGCGGGAGGTTGGACGGCTTCCTGGGCCAGTGGGAGCGGGCGCAGCGTGAGCAGGCGCAGACAGCGCGGGGGCTGCAGGAGCTACGGGGAAGGGCTGATGAGCTGTGTACCTTGTAAGGAGGGGGCTCCAGGGGCGTGGGAGGACTGGGAAAAAGGGCAAGCTGGATGCTACCTGAGGGATGAGATCTATAGGGGAAAAGAAGAGCCAATCAACTGGGATCGAACAATAAAGACAGAGGGAAGCGTCTATACCTAATAAGGAAAGATGGGCGGAGAAATTAGAGACTGGGTATCTTTAAAGGGTGGGCGGACCAAGCGGGAACTAGGAAGGCCAATTAGAGAACAGGGGTGGCATTCTAAACAATTATAGACCACGTGGGGAACCAGGCACCGGGCTAATAAACAGGCATGATTCTTGGGAGGGCTCTTAATGTCTCACCTCAGGGTGGAACGGTCAGCAGTGTCCGTGGCTTCGCTGAGGAGCGAACTGGAGGGGCTGGGCCCAGTGAAACCGATTCTGGAGGAGCTGAGTCGGCAGTTTCAGAGCTCCCGAAGAGGCTCCGACCTCTCCATGAACCTGGATCGGTCCTCCCAAGGCTCCTGTGCCCGATGTGTCAGGTAAGGGTACAGGTGCATTCTAAGTCAGTGATGGAGAAAGGGGTTCATTGTGGGATACGGAGAATCCCGATGCATTGATTGTCCTAGAGCATCATGGAAGTACATCCTTCCGCACAAGCTGAAGTCCGTGTCTTGTGCAACTCAGGAATAACTCCATGTGTTTAGAGCATGTTGTATTTCCAGTGCATTGTGGGGAAGCTGGAGTGTGGGGACATGATGGGAATCCAGGTTTCTCAATACACTGTGGGCAAGGTGAGACTTTAAGCATCTGGTGGGGGAACCAAGGGTTACAATGTAGGAAGGGGAGAATTCTCAGTACAATTGAGGATTAGGTTTAACCAGGAAATGGGACTTTGATAGCTTTTGGGAATCAAGGGCTGTCAGGTGCCATTTGGGAATGGGGCTCCCCATAGCACTGTGGAAATTCACCGTGCTGCGGGAACCAAAGGAAACTCGATGCATTGTGAGAAGATTTCATGTGAGGCCTGGGTGGAAGCTAGGCACATGAACATGGAACATCCTGGGTTCTTTCAACTGGTGATCGATCACCCCTTCCCCAGCCAGGGGCAGCAGTTATCCACGGAATCCCTACAGCAGCTGCTGGAACGAGCCCTGACCCCATTAGTGGATGAGGTGAAGCAGAGGGGTCTGGCTCCCGCCTGCCCCAGTTGCCAGAGGCTACACAAGAAGATTCTGGTACCAGGGACCATGGGCCACCATGCCTTTATTTTGCTTTTCTGCAGGGCAGCAGGGGAAGGGAAAGCCCTGGGCACAATGGTACTGTTCATGTGTGGCAGGAAGGGAAGGACTGAGCTGTAGGTAGCAACCATTGGGGAAAGACTTGGCTCCAATGCATTTGAAACAAGCAGGTGGGTGATGAGGCAAAGGCCAATCATAGAACCTTGGATGATGGACACCAGTTCAAAGCGTGATGGAGAAATGGAATCTGATGCATTGTGGGACACAAGAGACAGACAATAGCTTGAAGCATCAGTGAACATGGGACTGTTTCCCTGTCTAACTTAAGAAAAAGGGTCATTATAAGGGATATTGGGGGCCAGACATGGGACCCAGAGACTAGCGGTCATAAAACCTACTGCACTATGTTATTATTAAGTGCTGATGAGTTGGTTTGGACTCTTAGTGACCCTGTGCACAACAGAAGGAAACTTCTACCTCCTCATAATTGTTATGTTTGAGCTTATGTTTGCTGCCACTGTGTCAATCCACCTTGTTGGGATTCCTTCTCTTTTTCACCGACCCTCGACTTTACCCAAGGAGCTCTCGTAGGGTAGTCGTTATGAGATGGGCTGCTAACCTCAAAGTCAGCAGTTCAGAACTACCAGCCATTCCATGGGAGAAAGATGAGGCTTTCTGTTCCCGTAAAGATTTTCAGCCTCATGAGTCGGAACCCACTCCATAGCACACCACCACCATCACCACTTTGCCAAATACGATGTCCTTCTTCAGATACGGGTCCCTTCTGATAACATGGCCAAAGTCTAAAAGACCAAGTCTCATCATCCTCACTTCTAGGAAGCATTCTGGCTGTACTTCTTCCAACACAGATTTCTTTGTTCTTCTGGCAGTTCATGTTACTGTCAATATTTTTTGCCGGCACCATAATTCAAATGCATAGATTTTTCTACCATCTTCCGTATTCATGGTCTAACTTTCATATGCATATGAGGCAATTAAAAATACCATGGTGCTAGGGTCAGGTGCACCTTAGTCCTCAAAGTGACATCTCTGGACGTTCTTGAACACTTTAAAAAGGTCTTTTACAGATTTGCCTAATGCAATACGTCCTTATTTTTTGACTGCTGCTTCCATGAACATTGAATGTAGATCCACACAAATTCAAATCTTTGACAACTTCAATAATTTCTCCGTTTATTTTAGTCAAGTTGTGAGGCTTTTCGTTTTCTTTACACTGAAGTGCAATCCATACCGAGTGTGTGCTTCACTTTTGCTTTTCTAATCCCAGATCTTCAGTATCTCGAGTCCTCTTCACTTTCAGTCAGCAAGGTTCTGTCATATGTATATTGCAGGTTGTTAAAGAGTCTTCCTCCAATCCTGATTCCACGTTCTTCATATAATCCAATTTCTCAGATTATTTGTTTAACATACAGACTGAATAAGTATGGTGAAAGGATACAAACCTGGCACTCTGGCACGCACTTTTCCTGATTTTAAATCATTCAGTATCCCTTTGTCTTTTTTAAACAATTGTTTCATGACCTATGTACAAGTTGCTCATGAGCACAATTAAGTGTTCTGAAATAGCCAATTCTCAATGCTATCCATAATGTGTTATGATCCAGTTGATTGCCTTTGCATAGTCAATAAGCACAAGTAAACATCTTTCTGGTATTCTCTGCTTTTCTGCCAAGATCCATCGGACATCAGCAATGATGTCCCTGTTTCAGTCCTTTTATGAATGTGGCTTGAATTTCTGGCAGCTTCCTGTCAATGTACTGCTGCCACCATTTTTGAATTATCTACAGCAAAATTGTACTTGCATGTGATATTAATGATATCTGTATTCTCTTGGAATTCTCTGTATCATCTTTCTTTGGAATTCACACATCTGGATCTCTTCCAGTCAGTTGGCCAGGTAGCTGTCTTCCAAATTTCTTGTCATTGACAAGAGAGTGCCTCCAGTGCTGCGTCAGTTTGTTGAAACATTTCCATTTGTGTTCTGTTAACTCCTGGAGACATCAGTGTTGCTCGGACTTCCTCCTTCAGTAGCATCGGTTCTTGATCATATGCTACTTCTTGAAATGGTTGCGCAGTGACCAATTCTTTTTGGTACAGTGACTCTGAGTAGTCTTTCCATCTTCTTTTGATGTTTCCAGAATCATTCGATATTTTATCCATAGGTTTTCTAGTTGTTGTTGTTAGGTGCCATCGAGTCAGAACCGACTCATAGCAACCCCACGCACAGCAGAACGAAACAATGTCCGATCCTGGGTCAACCTCACTACCGCTGCCACACTTGACACCATCAATGATGCCACCTGGCTGATCCATCTCTTTGGGGGTCTTCCTCTCTTTCTCTGACCCTCCATCTTACCCAGCATGACATCCTTCTCCAGCGACTGTTCCCTCCTGACAATATGAATCCTTTTATATTGCAACCTGAGGCTTGAATGTCTTCTTCCGTTCTTTCAGCTTGAGAAATGCTGAGTGTGTTCTCCCCTTTTGCTTTTCTAATCCCAGGTCTTTGCATATTATAATATTTGACTTTGTCATCTCTGGCTGCCCTTTCAGATTTTCTGTTTAGTTATTTTATTTAATCATTTCTTCCATTCAATTTTAGTTTCTTCTCTATGCTCAAGAGCAAGCCTCACATATGGTGATGTTGATTTCATCCCACAACCCTTCTGGTCTTCCGTCATTAGTATCTAACACATCAAATTTGTGATTGAGGTGGTCTCTAAATTCCAATGGGATGATATACTCAAGGTCATATGTTGGCTTTTGTGGAGCTGTTTTAATTTTCTTCAGCTTCAATCTGAACTTACATATGAGCAGTTAATGGTCTGTTCACAGTCGGCCCCTGATCTTGTTTTGTATGACTATGATGAGTTTCTCTATTGTCTCTTCCTCCAGGTTAGGCAGTTTGATTCCTGTGTATTCCATCTGGTGAGGTCCAGGTGTATAGCCGCCTTTTATGTTGTTGAAAAGATATTTGCAATGACTAAGTCATTGGTCTTGGAAAATCCTATCATGCCATCTCCAGCATCATTTCTTTCATTGAGGCCATACTTTCCAACTCCAGAGTCTTCTTGTTTCCAACTTTAGCATTCCAATCACTAGTAATTATCAATGCATCTAAATTACATGTTTGATTAATTTCAGACTGAAGAAATTGGTAGAATTCTATTTCATTGTCACTGGTTTTAGTGGTTGGTGCATAAATTTGAATAATAGTGGTATTAATTAGTCTTACTTGTAGGCATATGAACAACATCCTATCACAGACAGCATTGTACTTCAAGAAAGATCTTGAAATTTTTTTTTTTTTTTTAATGATGAATGTAAAGCTGTTGCTTTTTAATTTGTCATTCTCAACATAGTAAGCCAGAAGACTGCCTGATTTTAAATGGCCAATACCAGTCCATTTCAGCTCATGTCTAGGATATCAATCTTTATGTGTTCCATTTCATTTTTGACAACTTCCAATTTTCCTAGATTCACACTTTGTACATTTCATGTTCTGATTATTAATGGATGTTTACAGTGGGTTCTTCTCATTTTGAGTTGTGCCGCATCAGCAAATGAGTTAACCCAAAAGCTTAGCTCCATTCACATCATTAAAGGCAACTCCTACTTTGAGGAGGCATCTCTTCCCAGGTCATATTTTGAGTGCCTTCCAACCCTGCAGGCTTAACTGATAGCGTTCTGATGTCATTCATAAGGTTTTCGGTGGCTAATTAAAAAGTGGTTTCCCTTTCCTTCTTCCTGTCTGTCTTGGTCTGGAAGCTCCACTAAAACCCGTCCACTACAGGTGACCCTGCTGGTATTTAAAATATTGGTGACATAGCTTCCAGTGTCACAGCAACACACAAGTCGCCATAGTATGAGAAACTGACAGACAATTTACACTATGGGAAATGGAATCCCTGTACTTCATGGGATTTTGCACTACAAGCTTAAGCTCGATTGTTGATGGGACTTGAGGCATGGTGTATTGTGGAACCTAGAGACTGATGCATTATAGGATGTTGTTCAAATGATTGGCGAGCCATAGATAAATGATGTAATATGGGACTTTATGTGGCAGAGCTATAGGATGAATGCATGATAGGACATTGGCCCCAATGCATTGTGGGACACATAGAACCAGAGCACTAAAGATGATTCCTGTGCTAGATGCTGACCTGATATATAAGGAAATGTAGAGACTGTTGAATTATGTAAGGGGATCATTTGACAGCATAGTGGACACACTGACACATGTCAAATACATGATGGTTCATGGGCATTAGGGGACAATATGGCGAACACAGATTTAGTTCACGATGGGGCACAGAAAAGCAGTGTTGTTGGATGTGAGGGGTGTGTGTCAGTCTCAGACTTGAGGTTAAGATGGTATATGGAAAGTCAATGTATTGTGACATGTAGGCGTCAGTCACAGGCTTGAGGCAAGGTGGGGCACATTAGACCAGTACATTGTGGGATTCAGGGGTCAAGCTTAGGCTTGAGGCAAGATGGGACAAAACACTTGGGGGGAAGAACATGGGCCCCATGGGACCCTGCCCCATGCCCTCCGCGATCCAGCTCCCCCTTCACCCCCAGCCCAGTCTGGCAAGCCCAGCCGCGCCTACACTCCTCTCCCCAGGAGCTGGAGCGCCAAGCCTTGGCCAAACATGTCAGGGCAGAGGCCCTGAGCTCCACCCTTCGCCTGGCCCAAGACGAAGCACTACGGGCCAAGAACCTGCTGCTGACGGACAAAATGAAGCCGGAGTGAGGAAGGAGGCTGAGGGCATGGGAGGAGGGTGAGGTCTTTGGGAAAGGGCCTGGGCATCCATTCTCTTCACTTCCACACCCCAGCATTGAACCTCACCTGCAGCATGTTATTTCCAACTCCCTGTCATTCCAGGGAGAAGGTGGCCGCTCTGGATTATCTGCACTTGAAGATGTGCTCCCTCCATGATCAACTCAGCAGCCTGCCACTTGAGGGGTCCATGGGGACCATGGGTGGAAGTAGTGGGGGAACTCCCCAAAAACGTGGGGGCTCAGCCCCTGAACAATAAATGGCCCTTCATGCTGGCATGAATTCTGTTTCTTTTTTGGCAACAAATGAGAGCTAGCAAGTGATATGAATTAAACATACACCATTTGTTGTTGTTGTTAAGTGCCATCGAGTCGGTTCCGACCCATAGTGACCCTGAACAGGGTTTCCAAGGCTGTAAATCTTTACGGGAACAGAAAGCGTCATCTTTCTCCTGCGGAGCAGCTGGCAGTTTCGAACTGCTGACCTTGCAGTTCGCAGCCTGATTCGTAACCACTACGCTACCAGAGCACCTTACACCATACGCCAGTTTATATGGACAATATCACTAATCCTCAGCGTGCCACCGAGGTGCCCTTTGAGGCAGTTCTAATATGTCACATGGACTCATCATGAATGGAAACTGACTTGACAGCAACCACCAACAGGTTGCCTTGGTTTCCAGAGAGTTACTATCTGTGGTACAGTGCATTGTGGGATGTGGTTCTTTGCAAAGAAGGCAAGAGTATGAAGGAGGTTCTTTGGTACAGTTTGGGCCTGTCAAGCCAATATTTTTAAAGGAGATTTTTGCCGAGGTTAATCGCAAGTTTGCAAAACAAATTTGCAAATTTCCTAGAAAAGGTGCTGTGTAAAATATTACCTCCAAATAGTACCTTGTGTCCTACAGTCCAAGTATAGTGCTGTAGGGCAAGCATTGGGCTGCTAACCCCAAGGTTGGTGTTGTTCAAACCCACCAGCCACTCCTTGGAAACCCTATACAGGGTTGCTATGAGTCAGAACCGACTCAATGGCACTTATAACAAGTAGCACCTTAGGACATCAATCGTGTAAGAGTATTCCCTCACACAAGTCTAAGGGTCAGGAATCTCTGAGTGTCTTACCAGGTGGTTCTGAGCCAGGAGCCTCATAAGTTTACATCCAACAGGGTTTCTGGGGCTGTGGTTTCATCTGAGGGCTCGGCCGGCTGGAGGATGCGCTCAGGATGGCTCACTCACATGCTTGTGGCTGGGAGGCCTCAGCTCCTCATTTTCTATTGACAGGAGACCTCAGCTCCTCCTCATATGAAGAATACGGGCTCTCCATAAGGTTGAATGTAACATGATAACTGGCTTCCCCCAGAGCAAGCAAGAGGTCATAAAATGTTTCATCTTGATAAACATTGGAAAGAGAGAAACTTTAGTCCCTAAAGTTACATATCATTTATTTCCCCTTATTATAGTCATTAGAAATGAGTCACTAGATCAGTCCACACTTGGGAATGTCAAAGAAATTGTGACAGTATTTTGACGATGCCAAGTGCATAGAGACCAAAGGTTATTTGTAGTTAACAGAATTGGGGCGAGAAAGGAATGGGAGTCATTACTGAAGGGGGTACTCAGTCTCTGTTTAGGGGGATGAGAATGTTTTGTAAATGGGGAGTGATGATGATTATGCAGAATGGTGAAAGCAATAAATTCCACAAAATAATATTAAAATGGCAAGTGTTCTATAAGGGAGATTTTTACTATTTCGGTGGAGAGGGTACCTAACAGGGATTTTAGCTCTTACCTTTCTTCCTTGTTGTCCATTGCTGTCAACTTGATTTCAGTTCATGGCAACCCACGTGTAGAGCGTCGTGTACAACCCACGTGTACTGCATCGAACTGTGCTCCATTAAAGTTTTCAAGGCTCTGACATTTCCAAAGTTTGTCAGGCCTGTCTTGCGAAGTATCTCTGAGTGGGTTCAAATTTTTGACTAGTTGTTTAGCATTTAACCCTTTGTGCCACCCAGGGACCTTCACCTAATACCAATGTCCATCAGCTAATAAGGTGCTCAATAGAAGTTGGTGAATGAATGAATGAATGCCCACTGGGCATATGGAACAATTGAGACTCAGAAAGGAGACATCATCTGCCCAAGGCCACATGGGTTGGAATAAGGGGCTAGATACAAATTCTTGGTCCTGAAGCCATCTCATGCCATCTCCTTAATCACTGAGCTCCCGGCCTATTTGAACCACCATGCCAGGCTGCCTCCAGGATTCCTGTGCTGAAAACATCCTAGACCCAGGAAACACCAATAGCGTAGCAGAGACAGAGAAATTGCTATGTTGTAACTCCTGGGTCCAACCTCCACTCCAGGAGAGGGGATTCTACAAAAGTATGGCCACCAGGAGGTGGGAGATCAGTAAGTGTCTCCTTAGAGTACCTCTCTGTCACAGGGACCTATTTGAAATAGAGTGGGGCTCAGGATACAGAGTTTAATCTGAGTTATTTAAGACTATTATCTATTGCTGTCTAAAATAATTACCCCCAAAGCTAGCAGCTTAAAACACACGATGCCAGAGTATCTAGAGTCAGGAATCCAGGAGTGGCTTAGTGCGTTGGTTCTGGCCCAGAATCTAGCATGAGGTTATAATCAAGATGTCATCTAAAAGCTTAACTGGGAATGGAGGATCTTCCAAATGTCTCCCTGGCATGGCTATTGGTTGGAGGCCTTATCTCTTCATTACATATCATGTAGGCCTCTTTATAGGCTGGTTAATGTCCTCATGACCTGGTGGCTGGCTTCCCCCAGAGCAAATGATGCAGAAAGCAAGAAGGAAGCCATGATGTCTTGTCTGACCACCTCCCTTCTCTCATATGCTATTAGTTTTTTAAAAAATAAAAAATCCAGCCTATATTCAAGAGGAAGGGAACTAAGTGCCACCTTTTGGAGGAAGAAGAATCGAAGAAGTACTTGTGGACATTTGTTTTTAAACCACCACACAGTTGATGGTTTGGTGTTGATAGGTTGGGTATTGGAAGTTGGTCTTGTGGCGCAATGAATCAATTAATATGGTCCTTCTAAAATGAAGTATGAAGGAGCTCTGGTAGCATAGTGGTTACGAATCAGGCTGCGAACCTTAAGGTCAGCAGTTCAAAACTACCAGCTGTTCCGTGGGAGAAAGATGAGGCTTTCTGCTCCCATAAAGATTTACAGGCTTGGAAACACTGTACAGGGTCGCTATGAGTCGGTTTCGACTCCATGGCACATCACCACCACCACCAAATGAAGTATGAGTCCTGGTGTGGTGCTGTACGATAAGCACGGGACCATTAAGCACAAAGTTGGTGGTTCAAACTCAGCATCTGCTCCTTGGAAAACCTACACAGGGTCGTTATGAGTCAGAACCGACTAGATGGTACTTAACAATAATGACATAGATAAATCCCACCAAATGACTGTGTGGGACTATGCAAATTAGGTGCTTGTAGCCCACCAAAGGGATTGGGTTGTTGTTGTAAGTGCCATTGAATCAGTTCTGACTCATAGTGATCTGTTATAGGGTTTCCAAGGAGCAGCTAGTGATTTTGAACAGCCAACCTTGTGGTTTAAATTGATCTTGCTGTCCAGTTCTTTCTCCTACAGCACTACACCAGGACTCCTAAGTGGATTGGATAGCTTGCTATTCATGTAAATAAGGTACATGGCACACTTGTGGGGGTAGGGCCATGCTAATAAGGTATATGGAGGCCCAACAAGAGGATTCATCAGTTTTGCCAACCCACTAGGTTTTTTTGGAACCATCACTAAGGCAGAAAGGGGACCTCATGTCCACCAAGAAGAGACAAGAATGGAATGTGTCTTTTGGACCTGAGATCTCAGCACTGAGAATTTCCCAGACCCAGGAGACAGAGACCTATAACACCAGAGACAGCAAAAAGCAGCTTGTAAAACCAGGAGACCAACAGTTCTCCATGCATTGGGCTTCCCAGCCCATGGAGCAAGAGGTCTGAGAACTTTTGAACAAGAGGTTTACTGGCAGAGTGGGGTATTTACTGGTGTAACTTAAGGGGCTTTTAAGCACTTATCTGAGCAGAGGCTGGGCCAGTCCAAGAGACCCAAGGGCATAGCTGAAAAAAGTCAGTCATGATCTAAGACAGTTGTATCCCGAGTCCTCTCTGATCCTGAATTGTAACCTGTTACTTCCCTAATAAATGTATAACTGAGTATTGTCTGTGAATTCGATGTGGTCACTGCATCAAATTATAGAGACCAGAAGAGGACCAGAGAGTCCCACGGGAAGGATGGTGGGTGTCGGAATTGGTAAAAAGTTTGGAGAGACTTTAGACCCAGAGAGGGAGAGGGGCTGTGTGCTGATGACCTGGGGCAGGCTTGCAGGGTATACCCTTTGGTTGGTTGATGATGCATGGAGGGGATTGTAACCATGGCAATGAAACAATATATGATAGGATGAATGTAAAACTAATGTTCTCCCATGTAAACTATCACATAATTCACAATAAAACATTAAAAAAAAAAAAGTTTGGAGAGAGTTAACGTGTCTGACCTCCGTCTCATAAGATGCTGAGGATTCTCTCTCCCCGTTGTGAAATCAGAGGCGATCAGATACCTCCTCCACACCATTTTTATGGCTTGGTGGAAGTTGAGGTGTTTTGCCTTTTTATTTTCATTGTTGGGTTGGTGTTATTACACTTGACTTGGAGCTGTGGAGTTTTAGAATTATAGTATTGGTGGGTTTGATGACTAGACTTTTGGTGTGGTTAAAAAATGCTGATGTTGGCATTTACTATTACTGATGGACTAGTGGGTCTTTTAATGGTAGTGGGGGTAGATTAAGGATAGAGTAGGGATGTGGCTGGAGAGTGTGGTGACTAAAAGTCATAACTGTTGTTGTTATGTGCTGTGGAGTCAGTTCCGACTCATAGTAATCCTGTACAGGGTTTCCGAGGCTGTAAATCCTTACAGGAGCAGAAAGCCTCATTGTTCTCCCACAGAACAGCTGATAGTTTCAAACTGCTGACCCTGAGGTTTGCAGCCCGATTCGTAACCACTACGCTACCAGAGCTCCTTTAGGGGTCAAGTTAAAGCTGAGTTATGATAGAGATAAGATGCTTTGGTGGCATAACAGTTAAGCTACTAACCGAAAAGTTGCTGGTTCAAATCTACCCAGAGTCTCCATGGGCGAAAAACCTAGCAATCTGAGTCCATAAAGAGTACAGCCTACACAGACCGATGGGGAATACCCTGTCACATGGGGTCACTATGAGTCACTGGATGCTGAAACAATATACGATAGGATGAATGTAAAGCTCATGTTCTCCCATGTAAACTATCACATAATTCACAATAAAACATTAACAAAAAAATCTACTGGATGGTAACTTGCAACCACATTGTGGCAATGGGGTGGGAGGTTTGGTGGGATGCTGGGACTTGGAGTTAGATTTCTTTGTATGGGTTGCATGGTTCTAACTGAGGTTGGGTTGGTGTAATGAGGTGTGCTGTCATTGGGTTTTGGGTTGGTGGAATCACAGAAGCTGTTAGGGGAATCATGGAAGCTGAATCCATCATTGAGGTGAAGCTTGGAATAGCTGGAGTTGGGTGAGATCGCAAGAATCCAAGTGTCTTCATTTGGTGGTTGTCAGTTGGGGTGGACAGCTTGGTACTTGTTGTTTAGATTTGGAGATGGTCTGGGGGGTGGACTTTTGGTGATGAGGCAGCAGGAATTGGGCTCTCGAGAGTTTGTGGAGTTGTTTGGTTGAGACTGGCATTGGATAACTGGGTTTGGTGTGACAGGAGTTGGGAATGGAGTCAACTGGGTAGGTAGGTGTTGGAGAGCTTTGATTGAGTTTGTGATTATAACTAGTCACACAGGTCATCCTTGAAGTGGATGAAAATGTTTATCCTACACCCTAACTTTCCCCTCTTCTACCCCACCCAGCCCAAGATCCTAACAAATATCACACACTCATCTCACACACTTTTTATTGGCCCAGATATGGAATTTCCTAACAGACTGCCCCTGTCCTGCACCAGCTGAGGTCCCTGGCTCCTGAGGGAGACCAGCTCCCTGACGGAAGGGCTCAGAAGTCGGTAGAAGCTGAGAGTTCCCTGGGCCTCTACGTCTGGCTGGAGAGGGCTCCGCACTTGCGTCCTGAGTCCTTCTCAACTACCCCACGGCGCCTGCACCTAAGGTCCTGTCCAGCCTGGAACAAGGAGGCCACGTCCAACAAGCCATCCTCAATGTGTCGCCCCAGCCGGTGGGAGTCCTGAAAGAAGAAATGGATCATGTCCAGGAGAAGCTGAGAGAGGGGGCCCCTGACAGCTGAAAAGCAAGAGGGTGGGCTGTCCCTGACTCCTGGGGAATTTAGGTCCAAGTTGATCTCACCGTCTTTGAGCTTGACTTTTTGCTGGAGATGTGGAAGGTGATCATATCGTCCCCCATGAAGATATAAGAAATACCGTAACCATGGTCGTCAGCCTGGAGATGGAAAGAGTGAGGGGGACCCATTATTCTTCAGCTTCCTCCATCCCAAGACCCAGAAGTCTGGGCCCCCTGTCCCCTCAGACCCAGGAGTCCAGGTTCTCCCACCTGGTTCCTCTCCTATCCCAAGAGCTAGGAGTCTAGTTCCCTAGCTCCATCGTCCTTCAGACCCAGGAATCTGAGTCCCTCATTCCCTCCTCCCTCAGACCCATAGTTCCAGACCTCCAGTCCCCTCGTCCCTCAAATCCTTGATCCCAGGGCCCCAGCTCCACTTACAGGTCCAAATCCACCCCCAGAGCAAACATAGTCAGGGTAATTGTGGATGTCAAACAAGTGCATTTGCTGAACAGGGATCTGGCTGGTGGCCAGCTGCCACTGCTCTGAGTGAACCTGAGGGACAAGAACAGGTCACACATGTATGTATGAAAGAGAAATGGCCCCACAGGTCTGTACTCATTCAGTTCAATTCGGTTCAATTCCACACCATGTAGCCTTTGTTCTGTCTGACCTCCTCCTCAGACTAGACGTTTCCCCTAAATCTGTCTGTCCCCTACCAACCCTCTGGAGTCCTGGTGTAGCACTGTGGGTTAATGCACTAGACTGCAAAGTCAGTTTTAACTGCAAGGTCGGTGGTTCAAGCTCACCAGCTGCTCCTCGGAAACCCTATAGTCACTATGGGCTGGAACGGACTGTCGACTGCACTTAAGCAAGCCTCTACCTTTCTCCTCTCTGACCACGCCCCTCTGCTAGTCTCCTTTCCCACCCCACCGTTCTCACCCTAGGCTCTGCCTCTCCATCTCCTCCCTGACCACGCCCCTTTCTAGTCTCAGACTAGACCGCTCTACCCTTCCTTTTCTTATCCCCTTTCCCCTAACCGTCTCCTCCCAACATCTCTCTCCAAACCTGGAAGCCCCTCCCCTCTTCCGTGACTCCCTCTCTTTGACTCCGCCTCCCCCCTCCCCATCCAACCTGGGCCAGGAAAGGCGACTGCAGGTGGAGGAACCGGGACACGATGTACAATGAGAAGAGGTGCCGGTCGACCCCCTGCCCGCTCATCGCCGCCTTCAGCAGGCCCTGGTGCTTGTCCACTGCCAGGCGGAACAGGGCGAGGCACTGAGCATCCTGAGGTCCACAGGGCAGTCAAAGGTCATGGAGGGACAGAAAGTGGGCTATGGGGATTGTCTCACAGGTATCCTCAGCCCAGCTTCCTGCCACCTCCCTGCCAGGAATGTCAACCCCATTGGACTGAGAGGAAACTGAGGCTCAGAGAAGGAAAGTTCACTTTATCGAAGTCACACAGTAAGAACTGGGCGGTGAGTCCTCAGGCCTGTCTGACCCCACAAGCCCCAAGCATCTTCCATTGAACCACAATTACTCATAAGGAGGAGAGGGAACAGAGGTGCCTGGGAGAAGTAGACTGCCTGAGTGGGCAGGGGACATTAAAAATGGTATAAAAGGAGGTCCTGGAGAGGTTTAGTCAGAGGGCTGCCCTGTGGATGGGGCTTTTGGCAGTGCCCCCTACCCTCATTGTGCATAAAAAAAAATTGTCATTGAGTAAATTTTGACTCTGGACACCCCCAGGTGTGTTAGAGGAGAACTGTGCTTCACAGGGTTTTAATGGCTAAGTTTTTGAAACGTAGATCACCAGGTCTTTCTTCTGGGGCATTTCTAGGTGGATAGAACCTCCAACCATACTGCTCATTGCTGAGTATACTAATTCACATGCCCTAGACTACATCCACTGAAGCCCATATCACACTGTGTTCATCTCTGCCTCCCCAAAGATCGCAAGATCTTTAAGGTTCATCCCCATGTTTCTAGTACCCATCCTGAACCTGGCACTCAGTAAATGTTCCATAAATCCTTGCAAATGTATGCGTGAGTACATGGAAATGACCAAAGCCTCCAATGAGGCCCACACCCACTGTCTTCTCGTCATCCTCCATGGCTCTCACAAAGTTGCAGGCCTCCTTCGTACAAGACCGCACTGTCTCCGTCCGGCCTTCCAGAAACAAGCGAGTCATGGCTGACTCATAAGTCAGGCAGAACTGACCTCTGTCCTGGGGGCCAAGGAGGAGAGAAGCCTGTAAGCGGAGCTCAGGAAGTCTTCACAAAAGTGACGCACCTCTGTCTGGAATTCCAGCCTCCTCCCACCCAAGAGTGTGTCATGGAGAGAGAGAGAATCAAGATGGTGGCCATACAGCAACCATCAAGAAAAGTCATTGAATGTTGGCGAGGGAGTTAAAGAGGCAGGTCTTGGGGGCCCAGGAGGACTGAAATCCTACGAAGGGACTAGAGAACGTCACTGACCCGGAAATGGGCCAGCTGCAAGGCCATCTGGATGAAGCTGTCTGGAGAGAGATGACAACGTTTGATGAAGCTTTTGCCAAAATGGGAAAAGGGGAACACGTGACAGTCGATGTTTCCAGATAAGGTCTTGGCTCCCCTGAGGGCTAGAGAGATGCATGGATGGATCTGCCAAAGAAGGAGGGAGGAGAGAATTGTATTACGGATGGGGTAGGGTTAGAGTTGAGAACAGCACTGGAAGTGGAATTGGGATGGAATTCAGAAGTAGAGATGAAGGAGAGGATGCAACAGAAGGACTAGGTTAGGGATGGAGATGACAGGGATAGCGATGAAGGTCAGAATGGGAGTAAATTGGGTTAGAGCTGAAGTAAGGCTGGGAATGGAGATGGAGATGGGACTGAGACTGGCTTACAAATGGGGCTAGGATTGGGACCAGGAATTAGTGTGAGGATGGAGATTGAATTGCAATTGGGGATAGGATGAGGTTTGAGGGTGCACATGGGACTGAATTTAGGTATAGTGTTGGGATGGGACTTGGGGTGAAGATGAATGTGTAGTGGAGTGGGCATGGGACCGGGGTTTAGTTTGAGATTAAGCATCAAGATAGTTTGGGGAATGGAGTTGAAAGTGGAAACAGGGTTAGAGAGGGGGTTGAGGATGGAATTAGGTTGGGGATGAGGTTGGATTAGGGTTGGAGTGAAGTTGGTTTGGCAGTGAGTGTGAGTTTGGGGATGAGGTAAGTGTTGGGAATGGGACTGAACCTAGGATTTATGAGACATGAAAGAGAGGCTCAGAGAGTAGACCTCACCTTGTCTGGAAGGTCCCAGTACAGCCGCTGGGGCTGGGGCAGTGTGGGATCAGGATGTCCCTTGCAGTGGCCGTCTGCTGAGTAGCCCAACTGAAAACATTCTGTGGCCAGAGTGAACTGTATACAAATGCAGGTGGTCAGAGTCCCTTCCTCTCTCTGGGACAGGGGACATCTAATGAGAGTCTTTTTTTATATAACTTCCTTCTGGCTAAAGGGATGGTCCCTAAGAATTAGAAAACTCTGGTATTCACAGACGGGTTCTCAGGTTCATGGTCACTGAAAGTAGGGCCAATATTCAACTGGTACCTTACTCAATCAGTGACATTACTATGACCATGTCCTTCTGACTGGTAAATACAGACCCATCACCCAGCTGCACCAGCCCTCCCAGGGACTACCATCCATGATTCTAGGACTGACGGAGAAGAGCCAGCAAACATGGGCACATCCAGGGTGCCAACATCCATTCAGGTTGAGTGGTACCCAAGTCCTGCTGGTTGTTCAATCTTTTAAATCCACCTTGATGGAGCGTCTGCTCCCAGCCAGCACTTTCTGTTCACATTTCTACTTAAATCTCAAACAACCCTAGAAAGATGGGATTAATATCGCCACTAAAAAATAGGTTGGGAGGAAAAATATAAATGAAAACTGTACTGAGATACAATTTCTCTCCCACTAGAATGAAAATGATCAGAAACATAATGTTGGTGAGGATGTGGAGAAACTGGAAGCTTCATCCACTGCTACTAGGAAGGTAAAATGCTACAGCCACAGTGGGAAACAATTTGGTGGTTCCTTGAACACGTAAATCACCCTGTGATGCAGTAGTTTCATGCCTATGAGTATACCCAAAAGGTCTGAAAGCAGAAATACAAAGAGATGCTTGTACAACAATGTTCATTGTCAAAATAGCCAAAAGGTGAACAGAACCTAAATGTTCATCAATAGATGAATGCATCAACTAAATGTGGTCTATCCATACAATGGAATATTATTCTGGTAGCGTAGTGATTATGAATCAGGCTGCGAACCTCACGGTCAGCAGTTTGAAACTACCAGCTGTTCCACGGGAGAAAGATGAGGATTTCTGCTCCCGTAAAGATTTACAGCCTCGGAAATCCTGTACAGGGTCACTGTGAGTCAGAACCGACTCCACAGCACATCACAACAACAACAAAATATACAGAAATGAAGTTCAGATCTATGCTATCCCATGGAAGAACCTTGAAAACATCAAGAGAGGTTAAGTCACAACAAGACAAGTACTGCTGGATCTCACGTATTTGAAATATCTAGAATAGGTAAATGCCTAGAGATCAAACTTTCATTTGTGGTTATTAGGGGCAAGATAGTCACAAATAATGAAGACCATAGAAGAAATCAGTGCATTTGAAGGATGGTGTCGGTGAAGAATATTCAAAGTGTCATGGACTGTCAGAAGAACAAACAAATCTGTCTTGGAAGAAGTACAGCCAGAATGCGCTTTAGAAGCAAAGATGGAGAAACTTCATCTCCCATACTTTGAACATGTGATCAGGAGGGACCTGTCCCTGGAGAAGGACATCATGGCTGGTGAAGTGGGTCAGTGAAAAAGAGGACTCCTCCTAGTGAGATAGATTGGCATAGTGGCAGCAACAAAGGACCCAAACCTCAATTTGTGAGAATGACACAGGACTGGGCAGTGTTTTGTTCGGTCACACATGGGGAACCGCGCGGAACAGCAACAACAACAGAGACAAGTAGGGGAAGGAAAGGAAGGGCTATTGCTTAAGAGGTACTAAGTCTCTATGCTGTTAGATGCCATTGGTGGTGGTGGCTGTGTGCCATGGAGTCAGTTCCAACTCATAGCGACCCTGTACAGGGTTTCTGAGGTTGTAAATCTTTACGTGAGCAGAAAGCCTCATCTTTCTCCCGCGGAACAGCTGGTAGTTACGAACTGCTGACCTTGCGGTTCGCAGCCCGATTTGTAACCACTACGCTACCAGAGCTCCTTTACATGCCATTGAGTGAATCCTAATTCATAGCAACTCCATATGTGCAGAGCAGAACTGCTCCATAGGGTTTTCAAGATTGTGACCTTTCTTTCAGAAGAAGGTCACCTGACCTGCCTCCCAAGATGCCTCTGGGTGGGTTTGAATTACCAACCTTTCCAGTAGGGGTTGAGCACTTAACAATGTGTGCTATTCAGGGATTCAAAGTCAGGCTGATGAAAAAAAACCCCATGGAAACAGGTTTTCGGTTTTGAAGGTAATTAATGCCACTAAATTATACACATGTTGTTGTTGTTAAGTGCTGTTGAGTCAGTTCCAACTCATAGTGGCCCCGTATAAGGTTTCTGAGGAGCAGCTGATGGGTTTGATTCCCAGTCCGGTGTTGATCAACTATAGCACCACTCCAGGAACCCAAATTATATAAAATCAGTTCAAATGGAGCTCTGGTACTGTAGTGTTACAAATCGGGCTGCGAACAGCAAGGTCAGCAGTTCGAAACTAGCAGCTGTTCCGCGGGAGAAAGATGAGGCTTTTTCTGCTTCCATAAAGATTTACAGCCTCGGAAACCCTGTACAGGGTTGCTATGGGTCGGATCCGACTCCATGGCACATAACAACAAAAATCAGTTAAAATGGCAAATGTATTGCTACATATTTTCTTACAATTAAAAAACAAACAAACAAACTTGCAGCTTTGCACTTCTCCCCAGAGAAAGTTAGAAGGGTAACAGAACACAATTAAAGAGAATGTGGACACGTGAGGAACCTGACAAAAGGAACTGATGTCACTGAGCAATTTGTATGTTGTTATTAAGTGCCGTTGAGTCAGTTCTGACTCATAGGGACCCTGTACAGGGTTTCCAAGGAGCGGCTGGTAAGCTTGAACCACCGACCTTGCGGCTAATGACCTTGTGCATTAAGCACATTGTTGTTGTTAAGTGCCATCGAGTTGGTTCCGACCCATAGCGACTCTGAACAGGGTTTCTGAGGCTGTAAATCTTTACGGGAGCAGAAAGCCTCATCTTTCTCCTTTGGAACAGCTGGTAGTTTCAAACTGCTGACCTTGTGGTTCGCAGCCCGATTTGTAACCACTACACTATCAGAGCTCCTTAACTCCCAGCACACAGACACTATCATATGTGAACCTAATTTACTGTGTAAACTACCAACAAAAATACAATAAAATAATTTTTTTTTTTACAAAAAAGGAAAGAAACATGGGTGAGAGGGCAGGTAATACACAAGATGGAGATTGTTAGCAAAAGAAAGATGAAGGTGGAGGGAGGCATAGGGAGGAATGCGGTGGTTAAAGTGAATAGAGGTAAATGCTGTTAACGGATGGCACATGGAGGGAACTGCAACCATGTAGTGAAGCAAAATATATGATTTGTTGAATGTAAAACTGATGATCTGTTCTGCAAACCTTCACTGAATTCACAATAAAAAATTTCAGGGAAAAAAAAATGAAAGAATGCTCTTAGGGTTACTGTGTTGCTGTGAAGTGCCATTGAATCTGTTCTGACCCATAGCGACCCTTTATAGGGTTTCCGAGGAGCAGCTGGTGAACTTGAACTGCCAACCTAGCAGTTCAAACGGCTTTGAAGTCTGGTGCATTAACCCACAGCGCCACACCAGGACTCCCAAGGCCCTGGAGAGGAAGGTAATTGGGAATGAAGGGGGGCGGGGGATGTATCCTACCTCCCACATATGTCCTGAGATAGGACAGTCGGCCCAAGAATGCTCCACGCTGAGGCCCAGCTTCCCATTGGAGAAGACGATTAAGGTGAAGGATTTGTCAAACCAGCTGTAGGGGAGAATTCAGAGGGGTCACCAAGGAACAGGGGGGCTAGAGTTTCAAGATGGCTAGATCTGGGAGTCGTGGCTCAGGCCTCTAGAGGGTGATTGGTTCTGGAATATCCCTGAGATGCATCTAGGATTTGAAGATATTTGGCAACTTACAAGAATGACCTTGGAGGAAAGATGAAGTGGGAGACACAGAGAAGACTTCAATAGTAAAAATGAATACTGTGAACTGATGGAGGGGATTGTAATGAAGCAAAGTATAGGATTTGCTGGATATAAAACCAGTGATCGGCTCTGTAAACCTTCATTCAATTTACAATAAAGAGAAAAAAGAATGGCCTTGGGTTTGGGGGAAATTAGGGAAACTCCCCTAGAAGATTAAAATGTAGAGGATATCTGGTCAATATTCAGGAAGTTTACTGAGGCTCTCTAGGTATGAGGACTCTAGATCTGGGGTCCTGCCTGGGCTTGGGGTACCTAGGTCTGGGGTTTGGGCCTAAGAATGCTCTAGGGCCTTAGGGTCTATAAGTACTGAGGCTGGGGCCCTGGGTCTAAGGGTCTAGAGGCCCAGGTCTAGGTGACCTTTGGGGGTCCTAGATCTGGAGTTTGGTGGTCCTCACACCTGGGGTCCCTGCATCTAGGGTCCGGGGTCTGGGGGCTCAGACCTTGGGGTTTGATGGGCCTGGGATCAAGAGTTTGGCCGTCTTCTGTCTTTAGCCTCTGAGTCTGGAACCTGAAACCTAAGTTCTGGGTCTGGGGAGGTCTCAGGCCTAGGGTTTCTCAGAGCAGAGGTGTCTGGGCCTGGGGTGGAATTTTCCTGAGTCTGGGGTCCCCAGGTGTCCAGCCTTCGGGTCTGGAGTCCTAAATATGAGTACCAGAGGCAGAGACGATGACGTGGAGAGATGGAGCAGCTGGGGACTTTAGACCCAGAGAGGGAGAGGGGCTGTGTGCTGATGACTGGGGGGGCAGGCTTGTAGTGTATACCCTTTGGTTGGTTGATGATGCATCAAGGGGAGTGTAACCATGGCAATGAAATGATAGATGATACAATGAATGTAAAACTAATGTTCTCCTATGTAAGCTAAAGTATCACATAATTGACAATAAAACATTAAAAAATATATGAGAACCAGTTCCTGGAGGTTCCAGGACTGGGTGGGATCCAAGTCGCTGGGAAACTCACCGGTCATGACCCTGGCCAGCCAGCAGGGCATGTGCATAGGCGTCCAATGAAGCCGCGGGGTCCTCCTTGGTGAGTCCTGCGGGCTCAGAGTCCAGGGACACAAAGAAAGCGGCTCCTTCCACCGTCTCCAGGGCGTCTTCAGCCTGAGTCTTCACCCACCTCCGGAGCTGGGCCCACGTGCCCCTGCCGGAGGACTTGCCTGAACCCAGCCTAGGCCCAAACCTGCCCTTCCGCCGCCCTGGATGCAGTCGGAGCCCCTGGGGATTGCTTGCTGATTCTCACCTGGGTGCTGTGGTCAAGGCAGCCAGGTGCTCCTCGTGGGGACAGGCGGGGGAGGGGTCATCCAGGATGCGCTGGAACTGTTGTTCCAGGGCCCGCGGGGAGAGTAGACCATTTCGGGAGTGGGTTCCCACGCGGAAGAATCGACCCCGGTGAAAGACGGCCACGTGTCGGCTGTCACAAAGGTGGCGGATGTGGTCTGGGGAAGGGTGGGTGCAACAAGAGCTTGGAGCCAGGAAGGCCAGATACATTACAGTGACAGATATATCTTAGCCACTAACTATGTGAAAGGAGCTCTGGTAGCATGTAGTATTTATGAAGACTAGGCTTTCTGCTCCCATAAAGATTTACAGCCTTGGAAACCCTGTTCAGGGTCGCTTTGGGTCGGAACCGACTCGACGGCGCTTAATAACAACAACAACTATGTGAAGGCTTCTTTTAAGACCTCTTTAAAGTGTTCAAGGAGTCCTGGCATCGCGGCGCAGTGGGTTAATGCGCTGGATGGCAGTGTTAGTTTGAACCTCAAGGTCAGCTGTTCAAGCTCACCAGCCACTCCTAGGAAACCCTGTACAGGGTCGTTATGGGTAGAAACTGACTCGACGGCACTTAACAACAACAAAATGTTCAAGAGCAAAGATGTGAGTTTGACAAGTAAAGTGCACCAGACCCTAGCCTTGGTATTTCCAATGACTTCACATGCATGTGAAAGTTGGACAGTGAATAAGGAAGATATTAAAAGACTTTGATGTATTTGAGTTATGGTGTTGGAAAAGAATACTGAAAGTACCATAGGCTACCAGAAGAACAAATAGGTCTTCTTGGAAAAAGGACAGCCATATGATCCTTAGAAGCGAAAATAATGAGACTTCACCTCTCATACTTTGGACACATTATCAGGAGGGACCAGTTCCTGGAGAAGGACATCATGCTTGCTATAGGGGAGGTCAACGAAAAAGAGGACGACTCCCCACAAGATGGAGTGACGCAGTGGCAGCAGCAATGGGCTCAAGCGTAACAAAATATGGAAATAAATACTAGGGCTGGTTGTGCGACATGCTTGAGGTAACTGATTCCACTGAATTGCACATGGGACAAATGTTGTTTTAACTATAGTTTCACAATTAAAAAGTAAAAAAGTTGCAGCAGAGTTGACGGACTCCTAAGGAACCCAGGTGTGTCAGAACAAAACTGTGCTCCATAAGGTTTTCAATGGCTGATTTTTGCAAAAGATCACCAGGCTTCTCTTCTAAGGTGCTGCTGGGTGGATTTGATCTGCCAACCTTTCAGTCAGTAACTGAGTGCGTCATTGTTTGTGCCACCCAGGAACATCTATCTATTTTTAAAATGAGGAGAACTGAGGCTCAGAGAGGGTAATAACTTGCCCAAGGTCACACAGCTAAGAAGTAAAGGCACTAGGATTTGAACCCAGGTCACAGAATCATCGTTTTTTCTCTCTCGGTGGGAAAGCAGAGCTGAGCGCGAGGAAGGGAGGGGCTCTCACCTTTTTGGACCCCTGGAACACGGGTGGTGTTGAATATCTTCTCATACTGGGCAGAGCACAGGGGACGCATCTCCATCAGCAAAGTCTGAAGGAGGCATGGGCTGGTGAACCGCTCTCAGGAGCCACCTGGTCCCACCCTAGCCCACGGCACCCCTCTTACTGGAAGGATCTCCTGGCGGGAAAGGCGGTGACGGTACAGGAGCAGAGCATGGACCGCATTCCCCGCGCGAGCAGCCTGCAGGGGAGTGGGTGTGACGTACAGGAAGTCCTGGGGGTCAGCAGAGTGGACAAGGACAGTGAATTGCAGATGGTAGTCTCAGATATAAATTGAAAAAACAAAAGGAAACCAATGGTCATCGAGTGCATTCCAATACGAAGAGGCTCTATATATATAGTTGTTGTTGTTGTTGTTGAGTGCCATCGAGTCGGGTCCGACCCATAGCGACCCTGTACAGGGTTTCCGAGGGTGTAAATCTTTACGGGAGTAGAAAGCCTCATCTTTCTCCCGCGGAGCGGCTGGTAGTTTCGAACCGCTGACCTTAAGGTTCGAAGCCCGATTCGTAACCACTACGCTACCAGAGCTCCTTTATATATAGTTAGGGTTTCCAAAACTGTATCTTTATGGGAGCAGAAAACCTCATCTTTCACCCACAGAGCGGCAGATGGAGTTAGACCACTGACAATGCCGTTAGCAGCCCAATGCTTCAATCCACAGCGCTATTAGGGCTCATCACTAACCATAAACCCCACTTTCAGCCCAGACCCCCAACTCTAGGGCGCCGCTGATGAATCCCACTAATCTTCCATCCCCTCTCCTGCTTCTCACCATCAAATAGTAGTTGCTGTTCACCATCAAGGAATTTCGGGAACGCAGGTACACGAATTCTTCCCACCAATCACTGACCTAGGGAAGGGGCAGGGAAGACAAAAAAAAATAGCTGAGGCAGTGCTGGGGTGAGGTGGCGCCACCTAGTGGTGGAAAAGGGGAAGTACAAAAACGAACCAAACAAAGGACGCAAAAAGGGATCACCAGCAGCTCCTCCTCGAAACCCTATACAGGGTCGCTATGGGTCTGAATCGACTCCATGGCACTTAACAACAACAGCGATCCTGGTGTGGTGCTTCAGGATAATGCGCAGGGCCACAAGGTCAGTTTGAACCGCAAGACTGGAGGTTCAAACCCACCAACCTCTCCTTGGAAAACCTATACATAGTCGCAAGAGTTGGAACCCAACTCAACGGGCACTTAACAATAACAATCCTGGTGTGGAGTCCTGGTGTGGCGCTTTGGGTTAATGCACTAGATTCCAAGGTTGGTTTGAATCAAGCTCACCAGCCGCTCCTGGGAAACGCTATACAGGATCGTTATGAGTTTGAACCTACTCGATGGACGGCACTTAACAACAATCCTGGTGTGGCGCTGCACTGGACCCCAAGGTCGGTTTGAACCACAAGGTCAGTGGTTTAAGATCACCAGCTGCTCCTTGCAAACCCTTTACAGGGTAATATGAGTCGGAACTGACTCGATGGCACCAGGACTTAACATAAGTCAGTGAAAATCTTGTGAATCACAATGGTATGATCCTCTGTGCGGACCATGGGGGTGACAGGGTTACATTCGGTTTTGCATGGGGTCACACCATGAATAGGTCGACTGTGATGATCACTAATAACAACAAACACAGTAAAATAAGTAGTTACCAGATGTTCAGAGATTGGGGTGGAATGAATACAGGAAGCACTGTGCATTTTCAGGGGCGTGGAACTATTTAACTCAAACCTTAACTCAGACTCTCACACCCTAATATTCTGAGTCCTGCCCCACAACTCAAGCCCTCCACACTGACATTCTGACACATCACATTATACATTTGTCAAAACCCACAGGACATTATAACACCAATGTCAAACTGACTGTCATTAGGTTGATTCCAACTTAATAGTCACCCTGGTGTGGCACTGCAGGATAATGCACTGGATTACAAGGCCAGTTTGAACCGTAAGATCGGTGGTTCAAACTCACCAGCTGCACCTGGGGAACACTATAACAGGGTCACTATGAGTCAGAACCGACTCGACAGCACTTAACCACATACAGAGTAGAACGACTCCTATAGGGTTTCTGAGGTTGTCAGTGTTTACTGGCAGCTTCATCTTTCTCCCTGAGAGCAGCTGGTAGGTTCAAATGGCTGACCTTAGAGCTAGCAACCCAACACTTAACAATGTCACCTCTGGTTGTTGTTAAATGCTGTTGACTCGATTTCTACTTAGTGACCCTTATAGAGTTTCTGAGCGGCTGGTAGGTTTGAATTGCTGACCTAGCAGTTAGTAGCCCAATGTTTAAACTAGGGCACCACACTAGGACTCCTGTGGTGTCGGTTCTGACTCATAGTGACCCTGTACAGGGTTTCCAAGGCTGTAAATCTTTACGGGAGCAGAAAGTCTCATCTTTCTCCCATGGAACCGCTGGTAGTTTTGAACTGCTGACCTTGTGGTTGGCAGCCCGACTCGTAACCATTATGCTACCAGAGCTCCTAGGACTCCTATGGTGCCTGGTTAATAACAGTGGATCAGTATCAGTTCATCAATGATAAGGAAGGTACCACATGAATGCATGTTAATAATAGAAATCGTGTGCGCCCAGGGAGAAGCGAGGTATATATGAACAGACCCCCAAAACTCAGATCTGGTAGAATCCTTGCCTCTTTCTGTGCCTCAGTTTCCCTAAGAACAATCAAGAACCTGGTTACTGACTCACAATGTCATTGTTACTGCTGTTGAGTGGGTTCTGAATCATAGCGACCCTGTATAAGCCGGCCTTGGGGTTCAAACCGGCCTTGTGGTCTAGTTGCTTATCCTACAACGCCCCACCAGGACTCCCAGTCCCACACCACAGATGGTTAGCAAGCCAGAGGTAGGACTGAAATGTGGGCAGGTGCTGGAATTTTGGTTAAAAGCTTTGCAGGAAGTGGTGGTCAAAGCCATGGATGTGGGTGGATCTTAGAGATGGGAGGGTTCAGATACTGAAATATGAGAAGAGCTCAGACTACCACAAGGGGGCAAGACTAAGAACATTGGAGGGTGTTAGGATATTGGACATTAAGGGGTTGGGTTTGGAACTTTGAAACATGGGCGGGACTAAGAATATAGAACCAGGAGGGTGGGGCTTGCTTGTAAACATGTCATGTTGCTGTTTTGTTGTGTTTCAGTGAGTCCATTCCGACTCATAGTGGATCCTGTATAGGGTTTTTGAGAGAGAGCAGCTGGTGGGGTAGAACAGATGACTTAGTGTTACCAGTCCAGTGCTGAGATCCTACAGCGTCATACCAGGGCTCCTAGTTATAAGGGAAGAACTTGGAATATTGGAGCATATGGGTGGGGTTTATTTGTGGATGTGTCCTGGGTTATGGGAAGGTTCAGGACCTGTCGGGGTATGGCCTTGTGGGTATATCATGAGTGTGATCAGGATTACGAAAGAATGAAGGGGGAGCCTGACTACTGGAAAATGGGGAACAGGCCCAAGCTGGATTGTGGTAATGAGAACGTGGTGCGCCTGGTTATGGGCGTGTCTTGAGCGGAAAAGACCCAGCTTCCTTATAAATGCCTATCAGAACCTTAGTGTTCTCCATGAGGGGGCCTTGAGGACATAGAACTCACGTAATTGGACGCCCACCAGGACTTGAGCTGTAGGTACCACTGCAGCAGGGACGCCTGAAGCTTCAGGAATTCGTGTGCTAGTACCGCAGTCCAGTTGAAGTCCTCGTCGGAGAGGACCGGCCGAACAGACTCCAGGTACTGAAGGAGGAGGCAAAGAAGCACATGTCACGCCTGTTCCAGGCACTTCCGCCCCCACCACTGCCAGGCCCACCTTGCGCACGGTCTCTTGCACGGAGGGCACCGGCTGGCGTGGCAGGGAGTGTTGGTAACTGAAGAGCATCGGGTGGCGGCCGGAGAAGATGCGGACCAGGGCCTGCAGAGGAATCAATGATGTAGGTTCATGAATCCCCTCAAGGCCTGAGAGGAGGGCTGGGGGGCTACAGAGAGAATGAAATGGAGACCCACACAGCCTGAAGTGCACAGAGACCGGGGTGGGGGACCCAAACTGAAATGGGAGAAGAATGGGGGGGGTGCAATTAGAGAAATGCAAAGAGAGAGGAAGACACATAGAGGGTGGACATCCAGAGAGAGGGTCAAGAAGAGAAGGACAGAGACTGGGGGTGGGATGGGTGGGCATGACAGAGACACACAGACTCAGAGAGAGGAAGACAGAGACCCAGAGAGGAAGGGGGGACAGAGACCCAGAGAGATAGGGGGACAGAGACCCAGAGAGACAGGGGGACAGAAACACAGAGGGGGTGGTATAGAGACTAAGAGAGAGAAGACAGACACCAGAGAGAAGATAGGGACCCTGACAGAGGAGGGCAGGGGTGAGTCCCAGAGGCCTGAGCAGTCTCTGCCCCCACATACCAGCCAGGTCTTGGTAGGTGAGGACATGGTGCCGTAGGGCTCCAGGAGCCAGCCATGGTAGGATAGAAGCAATCTCAGGGCCACGTGGAGTGTGAAGATCAGCGCTCCCCACAGACAGGAGGCAAACAGTGCAGCCGCCAGGGCCCCCCGTAGCGCGTGGTGCTGCCCACCCCTGGAGGGGTGGAGGAGAGAGGCTGGGCCTGGGTCTTTTGACCTCAGAGCTTCCCTCTCACCAGCCCTTCCTGCCCCTGCATTTCCTGCCATTCCAGGACCCTGGTTGTTGGAAGCAGAGCTTATTGTACAATTGGAATCAGCCAGAGATTCATTTGTCAACTAGTGTGATTTCCCTGCTCTGTCAGGATTTGAGGGACCCCACCTCCTAAAAACCACCCCATATAAATCTTGTTGTTAAATGCTGATGAGTTGGTTCCGACTCATAGCGACCCTATAGAGAAGCTGGTGGGTTTGAACTGCTGATCTTACGATTTGCAGTCCAGAGCCGATCGAGAAGTCCCACGGAGACCTTGTTGGTGTTATTGTTAAGTGCCTTCGATCAATCTGACTCATAGTCACCCTGTATAAGGTTTCCAAGGAGTAGCTGGTGAGTTCTAGCCACAGACCCTGTGGTTCAAACTGACCTTTCAGTCCAGTACTTTATCCCACACCGTCGAGACCTTGGTAGGTGCTTAGTAAGTGGAACACATTATTTCTATTGAAGATCCCTTGGAGGTACAAATGGTTTTGTGCTGGTCTGATAGCATAGTGGTTATGAATCGGGCTGCAAACCTTAGGGTCAGCAGTTCGAAACTACCAGCCGCTCTGCGGGAGAAAGAGAGTTTTTCTGCTCCCGTAAAGATTTACAGCCTTGGAAACCCTGTACAGGGTTGCTATGGTTCAGAACCAATTCCACGGTACTTAACAACAACAACTAACCTAGGAGCCCTGGTATCCTAATGGATTACAAACTGGGCTGCTAGTCACGAAGTCAACGGTTCAAATCTACCAGCCACTCCTCAGGAGAAAGATGAGGCTTTTTGCCCCATAAAGATTTATAGCATTGGAAACCCTATACAGGGTTGCTCTGAGTCAGAACCAGCTTGACGGCACCTTAGCAACCATAACGAACCTAAAGACTGGTGGTTCAAACTCACCCAACAGTATTGCAGAAGAAATATCGGGCAGTCTGCTAAGATCACAACCAAGAAAATCGTATGGAGCAGTTCTACACTCTCACACACTCTTGGTAACTGAAGAGTTGTGAGTCGGAATTGGCTCAATGGCAGTGGGTGTTAATTACTATTAGTAATGAAGGTTGCTTTGCCCTCCAAGGAAAATGATAAAGATAGTGGGTCTTAGACTGTGGTCCCTGGACCAATAGCATTCGAATCACCTGGGAACTTGTTGGGAATGCAAATTCCCCAATCCCACCCCAGACCTGTGAATCACAATACCCTGGAGTTATTATTGTTAAATGCTGTAGAGTTGGTTCTGATCCAGGGTTGCCAAGGAGCAGCTGGTGAGCTTGAACCGCCAACCTTGCAGTTCAAACTGACTTTGTAATCCAGCGCATTAACCCACAGCGCCACGCCAGGGCTTCTATCCTGGAGTTGTTATTGTTGTGATGTGCCATGGAGTCAGTTCTAACTCATAGCGACCCCTGTACAGGGTTTCTGAGGCTGTAAATCTTTTCTTTTTAATGTTTTATTGTGAATTATGTGATAGTTTACATGGGAGAACATTAGTTTTACATTCATCCTATTGTATATCATTTCATTGCCATGGTTACAATCCCCTCCATGCATCATCAACAAACCAAAGGTATACAGTACAAGCCTGCCTGCCCCCCGGTCGTCAGCACATAGCCTCTCTCTCCCTCTGTGTCTAAAGTACCCCCAACTGCTCCATCTCTCCACGTCATCGTCTCTGCCGAGGCTGTAAATCTTTATGGGAGCAGAAAGCTTCATCTTTCTCCTGCGGAACAGCTGGTAGTTTCAAACTGCTGACCCTGAGGTTAGCAGCCCAACTCGTAACCACTAAGCTACCAGTAGAACCCAATAATGTATTTAGGAAACACCTGGTAAAACCAAGCCAAACCTTTTGCCATTAAGTCAATTTCAACTCACAGCAACCCTGTAGGACAGAGTAGAACTGTCCATACGGATTCCGAGGCGGTCATCTTTATGGAAAGCAGACCACCACAGATCAGCTAGTGGACTCGAACCACTGACCTTTCATTTAGGAGCCAAGCACTCAAACACTGTGCCATGAGGGCTGTTAGCATGGTACTGAAATAGCCCACATGCATGATTTTGTTGAATTCTTCCCACTACCCAAAGAAGCAAGTATTATTTATTCTCATTTAATAGATGAAAATTCGGACACTCAGAATGCTGTATCCTCTCACCTAAGACCATGTAACTGGAGAGGTAGAAGTGAGACTTCTTTTTCAGTACAGATAACCCTATCTAGACATTTTCTTGTTTGTCACCATACCTCTTAGCAAGAGGCAGTTAGGATGGAAAAGTGTGCAGAGAGAAGAAAGGAAAACAGCCCCTTTTTCCTGATACTCTTTCTACCTTCATTGATCTTCCTCAAAGCCTCCAAAGTCCCTTTTCTTTAGCAGGCCCACCACACTGACAGCGATACTTATTGAGAGGAGGGAGGGGAGTCAGGAGGTTCATGGGGTAAGTTGGAGACCTCACCAGTCTGGCAGCAACTCCTTGATCTTATCCATGAGTCCCAGGGAAGGATCCAGCTGGAGGAACCAGGCGAGCTGGATTGCACCGAAGAGAAAGAGCCAGCTGAGAGGGCTGGCAGGGTACACACCGGTGAGAATGTCGTTCTGTAGGAAGGAAGGGCACCTGATTAATCATTTCCCCTCCCCAAACCCTTACTGTGTGCTATTGTCACATGTTTCTGGAGCACCCAGTTTGTGCTTAATCCTGTGAGGAGCACACAAATCCGGGTCAGGGGAGTTAGGGAAGGCTCCCTGGGGGAGATGCCTCTAGGGTCTTGAAAGTGAAACTGCCAAAAAGACAATTGATCTCTTTATGCAGCAGAGCCTGGGAGACCTAGAACTGTCTGGCTGTGAGATGAATCAAAGCACCGAATGATTAATCAGACTCCTGGGACCGTGTGATAAAAATAACGGACTTCAAATGAGTGCTTACTGCCAAACAGGCCGGGAGAGCTCGGTGATACAATAATGCGCTTGGGAACTGAAAGATTGGTGGTTGGCACTCACTCCGTAGCTCCTCAGAAGAAAGCCCTGGTGATCTGCTCCCATAAAGGTTAAAAAACCAAAAACTAACGTCTAGTCCATTCCGACTCATCGTGATAGAGAACAGCTTCATAGGGTTTCTGAGACTGTCGATCTTTATGGGAACATGTTGCCACATCTTTCTCCTTCAGAAAGGTTTAACCCACTGTGCCACCAGCCGCTCACCCCCTTAAAGATGACAGCCTAGGAAATCCTCTGGGACCATTCCATTCTGGCACATGGAGTCACTATAAATCGACAGTGGACTTCATGGCACCTGAGGGCAATAATCAAGGCGCCCGAGTGGCACAGTGCAGCTTTAGTTCTCTATGCCTCAGTTTCCTCATCTGTAGAATGGCAACAATCCTTGTGCATGTGTGTAGGGTCATCAGGAGGGCTTGCTGTTTGCTTATTGTAGGTACTGGGATCCCTCTTAGGTGTTATCCCTTTGCTGTGTGACTAGACAGCAAGCCCCCTGCTGTCATGGAGGAGACAGGTAACGTCAACGTTTGTAATGTCAGAGTGGCGTGATCTACAGAGGAAAGTAATGTAGAAAAGAGGGCTGGAGGCCTGGGAATTGCAGAGCACAAATCTAGCCATACAGCAGATATTCAATACATGTTAGTTACAATCATCCTATTGCTGCTGCTGTTGTAAGCATCTGTGAATTGGCCCCCGACTCCTGTCCACTCCCTGCACAACAGAACCAAAAACTGCTCAATCTGTGCTGTCCCCAAGATCAGTTGTGGATTGGCCCGTTGGCTAATTTTTTGGAAACAGATTATCATCTCAGTCTGGAAGCTCTGACGAAACAGGCAAATTTCCACTAGCTTTGCATGAGGTGCAGTGGTCAGGAATTGAACCTGGGTCTCCCGCATGGAAGGTGAAAATTCCACCACTGCTCACTTTCCACTGCTTCTCTGCTTCAAGATGGAGATTTACTTATTCACCAATCTTCCCTTAGATTAACAGGAAAAAGTTACTGGCAACCATGGTTATTTTTTGTGTCTATTTAGTCTCCCCCCCACTTTTTTTCCTTTTTCCCCTCATCAGTTCTTAGACCTGATGCTCTGGAAGATGAGATTTTGCCGCCTTCCAGTGCACCATTAAATCATTTCACCCATGTACCCCAGGGAGGTGGCAATTCTTACAACCCTAATCCTGCAGATGAAGAAACTTAGCCAAAGTCACACAGCCAGTAAGTGGGGTTAGTCATCATGAGTTGGGGTCTATGGTAACTATTTGAAGTCATCATCCATGAAGGGAAACTGAGGCCTGGAGGGGTCATGTACCAAGGCCATGTGGCTACTAGGTGATGGGGCCAATATTCAACCTCAGCTCCAGGGGATCAAGACCTCAGTTTGTTCACATTACAGAGAGTGTGGGGAGCAGGGAGACACTAAATGAAGAGGATTGCAGACAGCCTGGAGAAGGACAGACAAGAGTTCTGGTGAGACACTAGGGAGGTGTAAGGGGCCAGAACTGGCAATTCCGGAGCTGGGGCATCAAGCTGCGTGGTGGTGGTGAAGTGCAGGGCCCAGATGTCTGGCATACTGGAGGGGTTACTGGGGCTCAGGCAGAAAGGTCTCTTACAACCAGGAAGCCAAGATTAAGGGAAAGCAGAGGCCTGTGGAATTGGGGTGTGGGCTACCAGAAATCTTGATCAGGTTAAGGAGAGCAAAGTAGTTCCAGAATGGGGAACATCTAGTTCTAGATTCTGCGAATGAGAGCTCTGTTATGGGGAAGGGGGCTGAGTTCTGGAAATTGTGGAGATTGGATGGATGAGGTGCTGGAAGTAGGTAAAAGAGGTGAATTCCCAGAGATGAGGTTTGGGGATAACCTGGAAATGGCTTCAAGGATCCTAAAAGTGGACATCAAAATCACCAGAAAGGAATAGTAACTAGATTCCAGACGTGGGACCATTGGGAAGTTGGAAATGGGCCTTGGCATCCAGGAAACAAGGAACTGGGTTCCCAGAAGGAAACCAGCCCACTGTCCTCCTCACCCAGAAACGGGAGAGTCGCCTTTTCCATGAGCGCAGTCCAGAGAGACAGATCTCCTTCAACATGGGGGCACTGAGATCCACTTCTGCCCCATCCGAGGTCAGCGAGAGGTGGAAGCCCACAGCCTGATGTGCTTCAGCCATGTTACACTGGAGGCCAGGAAGAGGATACAGGGTCATTCTCCAGACCCTGGTCCCTTCTTCCCAAAAGCCCAGGGCTCTGGGATCCAAGTTCCTTTCACCCTCAGACTCAGACCTCAGTCCTGGCCCCAGACTCCTCCTCCTAGTAGTCCCAGGAGTTGGGAATCCCAGCCCCGTCCATCCTCTGAACCAAGAGTTCAGGGCCCCACGTTCCCCTCCTCTTATAGGCCCAGGAATCTAGGACCCCAGCTCACCCAGCACCCTCTCAGGTGCTGAGAGATCTTGAGGATCCTGGTTGGCTGAAGACTCCAGTTGGCAAGGCAGGAGCATCAGTGGGGGGACCTGTGAACGCAGAGAGAGATGGAGGGGAACAAAGTGTGGGAGCAGAGCCTCCCTCCCACAAGATTCCCAAAATTCGGCGATGTGGACAGGAAACTATTTCAGGGTGGGTTTCGGGAGTCTTGAGAAAAAAAAATTAGTCTAACTGCATATCAAAGAACACCTGCCGGATGGGTGCAAGCATGTTCACTCCATTTCCGCTTCCCAGTCCCAGCCAAGGGTGGAGTGGGGGTGTCTATAAATTCATCCATCTAGGGTGGCCCAGTGTCCCCTCCCCATCTAGGAGTGAGGGGGAGGGGGATGGAGCGTAAAGGACCCTACTGCGCATGCCTTGCAGCGGGGATGCTGAGGCTGGGAACCGAGGCGATCATAGAGGACAGGTGATGGAGGCCCGGATGCCCAGCCCAGGATCCAGGTTTCCAGCCCCTGTAGGAGGCCACTTACCACGCTGAATCTTGAGTCCGCCGATCCGAAAGCTAGGGCCCAAGCCGAGGGGTTACCCCTTACTCTGATTTAGAGCTCCGGCCCCAAACTTCCTGTTAATATGAACAATCCCAGTCCAGTGCCCACTACTTGGCCCACGGAGCTCCTGTCTTATTCCCAGTCTGGGGCGCAGGAACCTTGATTTTTGTCTCGCTGGCGTTTAGCCGGGAACTCAAGCCCGATTTTATCGCCTTGTAATTCCCACCCCCTTCGAGTGCCTGCGTTCTATCCCCGCCCCCTTCAAAGTCCGGTAGCCAATCCCCTCCCTCCGTTTGACTCCCAGCCCGCAGTCTCCTTTCTAAAGGCCTAATTCTCCATTTGCTCTCCTCCGGAATCCGATTCTTGGGCGCCCTCTTCTGTTATTTCTTCGAGGAAGGAAGCTCAATTTGACTATTAACTGTCCTCTTCTGGTCACTTGAGGTGTTGAGACAGAATCATAGGCCTTCCCGAGGACTGTCTTGGGATCAGCTCAGCCCACCGCAATCCGGGACCGAAGGTACAGGCGAAAGGTTAGCGCGGAAGCGCTCCAACAGGTTAGTCACATTGACTTTCGTGTGGGGGAGAGTGGGCAAGAACAAAGTATTTTTGGGACCCAGCTTATAATGGAAGGCCAAAATAACCAAGACAGACTGAAACATGGGAACTTTCGTTTTATTGGATGCTGGATGTTAGTCTTGTCAGTCACGGGTGGAGCTACCGTGTGCACCATGGTTTTGGTCTGGTCACAGCCTCAGGAAGGGATGAGTGTGGTCTCAGGATGAGATGGAGGGTGAAGATAAAAGAAACTCAGGGTAGTAGATGGGCAGACCGAGCCTAGGGAGACATCCTGATTCCACCCAGCGTGCAGATCTCAAGCTGCAGGTAGCATCCACATGTACCAGGTGGTCTTGGCTCAAGGCTAGTGTCTAGTGAAAGCCAAATATGCTATCCGCAAACTGTATGTATCATCAGCCTGTGGTCAGGGGAGCACTGGTGCATGTTGCTGGGAGGCCTGGTTAGCACAGAATCCTCGAGAAATAGACATGCTCAGAATGTTCTTACAGATAAGGCTGGGCACAATAATGCCCTACAGTTAGCCCCATGGGGCCCCAAGGCAGAGGCAGTGAGGAGCTGGACATCATGGGTGGACATTAGGGGAGGGGCTGTCGGGCTCCTGGGAAACCCTCCAGGTTTGGGCTCCCTTCTCAGGCAGAAAACCTGAGGCCAAAACCAAAGAGGGCAAAGCCTGCCTTGCACACTGCCAGGGCAGATCAGTCTCTGTGGTGCTGTGCCTAAAGTAGTCTCAGGTGACACCAAACCTTTAAGGAGGCAAGTGGCAGGAGAGGCCTTCAGAACCCCCCAGATGGGGGTACACCTGTTAAACTCCCCAACAGTAGGCTGGGGTGAGGGAGCTCTGGGCTCTGTACCCCATCTCCACCACAGGGTGCAAAGTACAGGCCCTAAGCCTCAGGGGTCAGAAGGTTCCAGAAGATGCACAAGGCAAAGTGGGACAGACGTGGGCAGGATCATCCCCAGTGGACAGAACCTGCCCATAAGGAGTGCCAGGAACCGATGTGGGCCTGGGGCTGGGGCTCTCGTCCAGGACAAAGTTAAGGTATGGGCTGTTGTAGAGGCTGGCGCGGGTGGATCTGGTGAGGGTCTCTTAGTAGAGACCCTTGGGAGGGCCTTGATATCCATCTCAGTAAAATAGGGAGGCCTCGAGGCCCTGTGCTCCCAAGCCGGGACTCCCCAGATGGACACCAGCACCCCACCCTCCAGGTCCCAGTCAGGCTTGGACAAACCCAATGAATAATTCTCTACCTTCAACACACACAGCCCCTTCCGTCCCCATGAGCCAGTTTTCCCCAGCTGTAGGGCAGAACACTAAGCAGTCTTGGTAGAGTTGGGCAGCTAACTACAAGCTCAGAAGTTCCAATCAACCCACTGCTCCTGTAAAGATTTAGTCTCAGAAACTCTATACAGGGTTCACTGAGTGGGAACCGACTCCACAGCACACAACGGCCACCCAACACAGGACACTAGTCATTGCTAGTCAACAGCCAGCGTGGCCCAGACTCAGGTGGAAAACAGCCCAAGAGGAACCGCTTTCTGGAAATCTCTTGGGAACTGCCTCCCCACCACCCCCAAAAGCCCTGTGGTATGGCTGGAGGCCAATCCTGGGCCAGTGAGAGCAGGAGCCCTAGAGAAGGAAGGGACCAAAGACTCTAGGAGACTGATGTGACAGGAAGAGTCTCCAAGAAGACCAGAGAGAGAGGAGGAGACCCACTCAGGTCCGGCAGGCCATTTAGCACCTGTGCCAGGGTCCCCATCCCCTCAGGCCCCAGGAAGCCAAGTCCCAGCTGAGGATTTATTGGCGTAAATGCAACCATATAAAAACATAAGTTATGAAAAACACAGTCACGATGTGTCCCCCCCACCCCGGCCCAGGCCCCTAAAGCCCCCTTCAGAGGGAGGGAGAAGGGAGGGCCCTGAAATCGCCTAAGACCACCGCAGCCCTGGGCTCCAAGGAGCAGTGGGCCAGCCCTCAGCGCATCCGGTAGTCGGTGGAGCAGGAGAGCTCACACAGCTGGCCCTTGAAGTCCAGGTCGATGGTGAAGTCCAGGTCACGCTGTGGGGAGAGGTGGGGAGAGGTGGGGAGGGTGGGACAGGCTCAGCCCCAGGATGTCTACTCCCTTACCCTGGGGTCAGCCCTGGAGCCCAGATTGGCCACCCCAGGAGGGACTCAGTGCTTTTAGGTTTTCATCGTCGTCAGGCATCTATCTACACACCCACCGATACCCTGGGACCCTGCTTTGAGTGACCCCTGCTCCAGCATCAGCCCAGAACCCCAATTCTGTAGGATACTCCATAGGCATGACCCGTCCACTGTGCTCTGAGGCCTCGCTCTTCTGCCTCACCTGTCACGTCATGAGGTTCCCTCCTAGCTTGTCCCAATAGCAAAACACGCTTCATCTTTTCTAAAACAAGTCCTTTCTCTATGCCACTTCCTGTTTCACAACTGCCTCAGCCCTCCTTCCTTCTATATGAGAACCCCAGGGCTCCTTCCCAGCCTTCCTGGAAACAGGTGTCACCCTCGACCTCCACCCAAAAGCTGTAGACCAAGCCTCTAATGCCTTCCCGCTGACTTTACACCTCCCTGGCCTCTTCCCTTCCACTCAAAACTGCCTGACTTTGTCATAAGTCCTAGAATCACTGTGGACAGGCTACCACATCCCTCCTCGGGCCAATGCCCTCATTCCCTGCCCTAAGCCGCCATCCAGTCTCAGTTCTCCTGTCCAAGTCAGCAGTTTCCCTAGTCCCAGGGCTGTGGTCCTCCCCCCAGTCGCTCCCCACTGAAGACTGCACAGCAGAGCAGCTCCCCTGGTGGCCCCTGGACCCGACATCCCTGGGTCTCAGCCATGAAGACTGCAGGAAAGAAGAAAAACAGCACTCTGCCCGCCTTACTTTCTAAGAAGTTGTACCAGCTCCACCTACTAGCAGCTCACCCTGCCCCCGCCACACCTGCCCACCAGCCCAGCCCTGGCTATGCTGTATGCTGGGGGGCTGAAAGGCAGGGTCCTGTAGGTATAGACAAGTCCTAGGGGGACGAGAGTGCCCTGAGGCCCCCCCACTCCTCCCAGGCGAGCAGCCTCACGTTGTTCTTGGCGTTGGGCCGCATGCCAATGGTACCAAAGATTTCCTCGCCTGTCTTCACAGTCAGGTAATCCTCCATGTAGAAGACTGTCTGCTTCCAGTGCGTGTAGGGGGACTCGGGGCCTGCAGACAAGAGGACCACTGTGTCTCCCTGCACCTTGGGCCACACCAGATCCCCAAATTACAGCCAGGTGAAAACCAAGAACCAAAACCAAACCAGATGTTCTGGAGTTAATTCCAACTCATGGAATCATGGGAGTCCAAGCAAGACTGTGCCACGCAAGGTGTTCTACGGCTAGTTTTTTTCAGAACTAGACCACCAGCCTTCTTCTAAGGCGCCTCTGGGTAAAATGTGAACTGCCCACCTTTTGACTGAGCACTTCACTGTTTACATCACCCAGGGTCTGGGAGCCTAGACATTAAGCTCCAAGCGAGCCTTGAAGGCAGGGCCTGTTAGCTATATTTAGTGGTTGAAGAAACTGAGGTACAGTGGCTCCAAATCACACAGCAGAGTCAGGAGATGGGTCAGTGTCCCCATGGTCCATCGAGGGGCATAAGCCCATTGCTGTGCCACACACACCCCACACCCTGGCCAGGGACCGCCCGCCTCACTGGTGGAGAAGCCGGTCCTCTTGTGGCAGCGGGTGAACTCGATGTTGAAGTAAGCCACCAGAGCATGCACGTAGTCATTCCGCTTCACTTGCAGGCAGAACGGGGAGGTGAAGGTCAGGTCTTCCACCTTGACAGTGTAGATGTCCACCTCCTGCAGGGCAGGTCCGTCAGCCCCCTGCCCAGTCACCCCCGCCCTGCTGGTCTTCCTGAGCTGGCTTCAGGAATTGGCTACTTGTTCCTTTCCACCCCCTGGCTGAAATCCAAAGCTAGGGAAGGGGGATGCTATGCATCAACACCTACATTCAACCCCCAACGCAGGCCCTTCTGCTCCTTCCATCTGCCTGGAACCCCCTTCTCCATTTCACCACCAGGCTCCCTGCTTTGGCTCCCCTCCCCCTTTCGGAGGCGCCAGCTAAAGTGACCACTGTGTGTTAACCCTGCCCACCCTGATTTGGATCCACCTGTAGGCACCAGACCTCGAGGGTGCAGCTGTCACTGCTCTCTCCAGTGACCTAAGTGCCCTCTGACGCTGTCACACTATCTAGAAGTTGTCACCTCAGGAGAACCCACTGGCGCTCATCACACATCCAAGAGCCAGCTGGCGGCCATGGGTTTCTGCAACAGAGGACACCCAGCCGGACATGTGGCTCACCTTTATGAGGCAGGCATTGGTGACCAGCTGCTTAGGGTCCACTACATCCACGAGGGGCTCCTTGATGGCCACATCCTTGATGCAAGACATGTCAAAACCATATACATTCTCCCACCCTGTGGAAGGGGTGGGGTGGGGTGCGGTGAGCCGGTGCTACCCAGACACATGGGTCCCTGTCCCTCTCTCCTCTTTCCCCTGCAGGTCCCCCAGGACACTCACAGTGGATCTTGTAGTCCTTATACTGCCGGTCCTCAATGGCCGTCACATACAGTGTGGCTCGATCAGGGAAGATGAGGCCATCAGGTGCCTGTGGAGGGAAAAGGCGGGGGGCATGTGTGTGTGGATGAGCCTTGGCAAGTCTCCCTCCTGGCCACTCATGGAATATGCACCTATCCAGCCTCCAGGGCCCCTTGGGCTCCTGGCAGAGGTGGCCTCCTCAGACCTGGGGAATTCCCCACCGGAATACCGCTTAGGGGCTCAGAGCAGAAATACCCATTCCCCCTCCTCCCAAACACAGCAGCTGCTCCTGCCTGCTCCAGGGGCTCAGCTGGAAGCACCCCCCCACACACACACACCAATCCCTTCCCATCCTTTATCCTGCTATGTTCCCACCACACCTGCTCTAGACACCTGGGACCATGGCCCCCACCCTGCACTTCCTTCTATCCCTCTGTCCTCCTGACTGGACACTCTCCTTGTTACTGTCGTTGCTCTAACCCCCTCAGCTGCTGGCTTCCCCCATCTCTGCTGTCAATTCTTGTATAAAGACCCTGAGAAAACCCCAAGGAACCCAGGTGGTGCAATATTAAAGCAATCCACAGCTAACAAAGCTCACTGATTTCACCCAGCTACAGTACTGTAGGAGAAAGATGAGGCACTCTGCTATCTGTATAAAGCCTGTGGGGCAGTTCAACTGGGTCCCATAGAGCCACATAAGTCAGAATCAACTCAACAAGTTTAGTTGATATGGTTTATCTAAAGGTTTCCCTTCACAAATTGCTCTATTAAAGCATCTCGCTGTTTGATCAAAGGGTTGGTGGTTCAAAACCACCCAGGGACAGCTTGGCATCTGCACACACACTAATAACCAACCAACATGCCCTAAGGAACTGGCCACTTCTACACTAAATTCCAGCCCAGGAGCTTCTAAGGACTGCAATGCTTAAGCCCTCTAATTGCTTGCTGACTGATTGGTGGTTTGAACCCACCAGGGAGAAAGATGAGACAATCTGCTTCCGTAAAGAGAACCACCTGGGAAACCCAATGGGCCACTTCTGCTCTCACTACGGGCTGGAATGGAGCCAAAGGCAATAGGTTGTGGTTTTGTGTGAACCTGTCCGCCCCAGCCCCGGCCCTCACCAGCCACTTGTCGCGGGCATAGAGCACAGTGTTGAGCATCGACTCATAGAAGAGACAGTAGCCCATCCACTCGCTGATGATGATGTCCACCTTCTCCACTGGCAGCTCCACCTCCTCCACCTTCCCCTTGATGATGGTGACCACTGCAGGGAGGTGGGGGAAAGGGGGCAGTCAGCCTTGAAGAGACATGCTGGGGACTCCACACAGATTCCCGCTTGGATTCTAAGTACCTTTCTGGTAACACTGGCAGTGTATGAGGCAGTACCATGTGCAAGAGGACAGACTCACCAGCAAATTAAATGCCACAATCAAGGGACGGATTGAAAAAGCAGGGGATAACTAGAAAATCCAGCAACCTGAGAGTTGACTCTGAACTCCTGGTGATTCCATGCAGGCCAATGTAAACTATACTCCACAGGGTTTAAATGACTGGTGTTGAGGGTAAGCAGGTCACCAGACCTGTCTTCCATGGTGCCTTTGCGTGGACTTGAACCACCACACCTTATTACTTGCTATGTGGGCCACCCAGGGACTCCACATGCACACAATGATGTCACAAAAAAACGAAGTGCCTCTCAATCCCGTGAAATGGATCTAACTACACGATAACCTGGTGAAAATAGGGCAAAAAAAAACCCCAAAGTGTTCCATGAGTCACAATGACACAAGTGAACATCAAAACACTGCCATATGTTCTGGCCTAGCAGCATTTTCACGAAGGAATGTCCGTTGAGAGCGAAGTGTAGCTGAGAGACACACAGAAGACTGTGGCCATCCAGTGGTTAACCATTGGACTCTACTCCTTAGCCCAGAAATTTAAGTCTGTTTCTTGCTCTAACTTTATAAAACTGAGGGGCTATGTTCCCAACATCCAGACCCAGATTTTAAGAACACTTGTGCTGCTAATTGTCCTGACACCACCACGTTCTGAGAAGGTTAACAGGGAGGAATAGCAAACATTGTGACCCTGTCAGTGGACCCCACCTCCGCCCCCTTACAGAGGGCCCTGGGGAAGTTAGGAATTACCCACTCCAGCCCCACCAATACCCCTAGGTCCTGGGCTCACCATGGTCTAATTTGTTGGCTTTGACAATCTTCACCGCATAATCAGAGATACTGGAACACTCGATCTAGGGGCCCAGGAAGAAGGGAGGGTGAGGCCCCCCCAGACCTACCACTGGCCCCCAGCCCCCCTCCATGCAATCCCTGAGCCCCAAGGGGCCCCTTTCTAAATTCCCAGGCCTGCCCAACCACCCTGGAGACTCACCCCGATGACCTTGCGGGCCCCGGCTTTGGCAGCAAACATGCAGAGGATACCTGTGCCAGAGCCCACATCCAGCACCACCTTGTCCTTGAAGAGGTGCCGGTTGTGGAACATGGAGTTGCGGTATGTGAGGGTCCGCACCTCATCCTTCAGCATCTCCTGGGGGAAGGGCACAGAATTTCTATGAGGGGGCTTCCAGCAGACCAATGATAAAAGGAGCCCGAGCTCAGCCCCTTCACTCTGGCTTAGCCCCCTGGGTCTTAATTTTTGCACCCCCGTTTCCTTCCCTATTTGCAAAATCAGATTGAACTGTATTCTATCATTGTAAACCTAGGGCCCAGTCATCCTCGTCTTTTTTACAAAAGTCCTCAGAACTTGTGCCCAGCTGCCTTCTGTTTCCCCAATTGGCAAAAAATGGTTGAGAAGCTAGCTTCCCACACAGAGCACAGGCAGGCCTAACACCAGCCGCTAGAGAGCAGCAGAGAGCAGCAGGCCGGTTCAAGGACTAAAGTCTCTGGTGAGCATGCGCACACTCCCCATAGGAGCCTCCAGAGACTGGCAGAGCACAAGGCCAATCTTGGTCTCCAAGACAACAGCTGAGCTAGAGGAGATCCTGGGGTTTAGGAAGCCTCCTGTTGTGCCAAATGCGCATGTGCGGAACATGTCCCACCCCACTCCTCCCCAACTGGGACCAGTCCTGAGGCCTCTGTCTGAATGTTCCAATCTCACCTCGTGGATGCCGAAGTGAGCATAAGAGTCGAAGTAGTAATCTTTGGACGTCATGTCCTCAGCATTGGGCTTCTCGCTGCTCTCAGCCTGGCCACAGGAGACCTGGTGGGATGCGGATGAGTAAGGGTCAAATCTGGGGCTCCCCGCAGGCTCAGCTCCAGATCCCTACTTCTGCCTGGAGAACGTTAACTCCCCAAAAGGCATCTCTACTGCCCCCTCTGCCATTTCGCCTCCCCCGAACTCCAGACCCTAACACCCCATTTTCCTCTTCCAGGTACCATCCAGGGGAGCCCCCCAGTACCTCAGCCACGCCTACCATCTCTCCAGTTTCTCTGCCCCCGATTCTAGCTCAGCCCACAGCTGGGGAGGGGAGGGAACAGCAAAAGGGGGGGGAGGCACAGGGCTGATGGGGAGGGGCTGAAAATGGGAGTTAAGGAAGTAGCCACAGTATTGGAGGCCAGAGGGGGCTACACACCTGGAGGAAGCAGTACTAAGTATTTTGGGGGGCACGGGGTGAACTGGTTTGTAGCAAAAGGGATCGCGGTTAGACCGCTGGAAAAGGCCTGGTGGGTGACAAGCTAGACTGAAGTGGGGGTGAGGGTGGGGGTGGGGTTTCACAAAAGGATATTTACTTCTTCAAGAGGCGGCTGGAGGCTCATCCCATTAGCCAAGGTGGCTACAAAATTCTAGGAGAGAGTACAGGGAGAAAGAATTAGCTACTGGGGCCAGGCCAGTGGGGGATGGGGGTGGGGGCCGGGCTTTGTTTTGGGAGGGAGGTCCCTGCAATTTTCCTCTTCCTTGGTGGGAAGTGGTGACAGTGTGAAGCAGCATGGCTATTTCAGAAAGGGGTCAGAGAAGTGGTGGGGGAAGGGGAAGATAGGGTGAGAGGTTCTCCTGTCTCAGCTGTGGCTGGAGAGATGGTGGCCCGCCCCCATGCTGCCCCCCTCTGGGCAGGCACCTGGACACACATACCAACCCCCCCCACACACCAGAAAGGCACACAGGCACTGCTGGCTGGTTTAGCCCCCTATAATCTCCCCAGATTAGGTGACACTTCCTGACACACATCTCCATCCTAGGGTGCCAGGAATAGCTTGGAGGGAGGAGGGAGCTGGCTGGCAGGCTGTGCCCCCTGGGCAATGGTCTTGCCACACCAGTCTTATCTGAGAGGATTCCAGAAAGGGGGTGTGGCCCACAGGCCCCTACCAGAGCTGGCACCCCAGCCTCTAGTTCCTGCCTCTCCCCTAGACTGGAGCACAAACCACCACCACTGGTCCCCTCCCTATGTCCAGGAAGTCAGCGTCTGGGAAAGGGGGAGCCCCAATCAGACTCTGGGACCCTTATAAAAGTTATACGGGCTGAGATGTGGCTCTCATTCAGATCAGACATCCATCCCGGGCCCCTAAGACGGGGAAGGGGGGGTAAGGACAGCCGCGGAGAAAGCATTTCCTTGCCTAGGTCCAGACACAAGCCAAGGGCGCATTGGAGTGACCCCCAAATGGCATGCAACTTGAGAATTGACCCTGCACTCTAGAGAGGCTACAAGGTAAAGAGTTGGGGTCCAAACACCCCATCGGATAGCATCCAGCATTCCTTCCAAATGTGAACCACTAGCCACCCTCCAGGTGCTCAAACCGTGAACCGCTGGCATCCCCACAATTCTTCCGGGCTGGAGGACACCCGTTGGGGCAAGCTAGTGAGGGGATTGCCCACCCCAGATCCTACTGCCCACTAACACCGCTGTGGTCTCCACCACTAGACCACCTCATCCCCACCCCTAACCTCTCTTAGGAAATGGAACACAGGCCTAGAACCCCTCCCTATATAGCTGTCTGAGACCCAACTAACTGGAAACCATTCCTCGGCACCCAGACTCAGGACCCCCCTTAAAAGAGCTTCAGAAAGGTGGGTCATCTTTGGGACGGGGCTGCAGAGAAAGGGGCCCAGAAAATGGCAAATCTCGACGTTTATAATCCTGTCTGATTTCCTCCCATCGTGTCCCCCAGCGTCTCCCTGTGCCTGGGAGAGCTCCAAGGAGGAGGGTGGCTTCGGGACACGCCCCATGAAAAAGCCTTCCCTCCCACACACCCAGAGATGGCCACAAGGGGGTGCCCGGTGCCTTCTCCGCAAGGGTGGCCTCCAGCTAGATGCTCCCCTACCCAGAGGGAGGTCACAGGGGCAAAGCCCCATCCCCCAGCTCCTAAGGCGCCAGAAGGGGAGAAACGTTCGGGGGCAGGAAACTACGGGGCTCGAGGGGAACCGACTCTTCCTCTTCCTCCAATCCCAACCCAAGAGGGCACAAAACCTGGACCGATGCCTCAGTAAGTACCCCAAGACCTAAGGAGAAGGGGTGTATAGAGTCGGGATGTATAGTACCTCTCAAGAGGTCCTCTACATAGCGACTGGCCCCGGACGGGTATCAGCCCCCAAGGTCTTTCCCGGTCCCGGGAGACAGAGATAGGGGACCCTCGACGGCGGGTCGTCGGAGTCTGCCTACCGCCCCCCCCGGCGCCCCTCCCCCTGCTGGAGGCGGGGCCTTTGTCCCGCACGTGGAGCCCGCTGGGCATCCGGACACGGCACACCCCCTCCCCACCACCGGGCCGCGGCCACGTGGGGGCCAGGCCGGAAGCGCCCCCAGCCCGCCTGCACGTGGGAAGGAGGTGAGACCTGGCTGCCGCAAGGCCCCAAAAGCTAAGCAACCCCCACTTCCAACGATAGTCCCAAATTCGGAACATGCGTCGCCCCCTCCCGTGCGGTTGGGTGCTTTTAGCTTCAATTCGCCGACTCGAGCCCCTTCCCCACCACGGAGGCATAAAACACACACACCAAACCGCTTCCCGACCCCAGCAGCGCTCCAGGCTCTCACCTCCATGATGCAGTTCGCGGCCTCGGCTGCCGCCATCTTCACCCGCTGCTACTCCTCCTTTGGCCGCCGAGACCCCCCCTTTCTGCCCTCTCCCCCGGGACCGCCTTATACCGGAGGGTCCACGGCCCGCCCACCTCAATTCCGCCAGGAGATTTCATTGGCGATGGAGGCGGCCCGTCTGGAAATACCGTTTGACAATTGGGTAAGTTAGATATCCATCAAAGCTTAGAGGCCCGCCCAGTCTAGCGCGCACGGCCCCGCCCCTCAAGTCGCACGGGATGGGGAAGACGGCCCGTCTATCGCAAAACTCGCGAGTGATGATTGGACAAAATCGACCAGGAGTTCCCGCCTATTCCCCTCCAGCACCGCCTCAAAGCTTCCCGGCGGGCCCCGCGCTAAGCGGACATCTTGTACACAGCTGTCCATCAGCAGAACGGCCCGCCTCTGATCGCTTCCAGTGATTTACCCAGAGGGTGACGTCATGAGGTCTTTAGCCAGCCGTCGTCAATCTCAAGAAGAATGAGGCGATTGGCCTCCGAGGGGAGAAAGGCAGGACTTTGGACCCTAGCGATTGGTCAAAGGAACTATCACTCAACCTCCGTTCAGTGGTTTGTCCCTGCCCAAGGGCGGGTGGAGGGGCGTCCAGAAGGAACAACGGAGCTTGTTCCCATTTACTTGAGGAAAAAACTGTAGCAAAGAGAGGGGTAGAGAGAAAGCAGATTTTTCTGGGGTCTCGAACCAAGTCACACGTTAAAGAATTTAACCCTTAGCGCTCTACTTAACGGTTGTAAGTATTTAAAACCCAACAAACCCTGTGAAACCTTTGGGTCTTTACCCAAACTGGAATACCCTTTCATCTGGCCGACAACTATACATTCTTCAGAGCTCAACGTAGACACCGCCTCCTCAGGAAGCTTTCCTCTGCCTGCAGAAAAACTAGTCCTTGAAATAAAGATGAATTAGTCTCTCCAGGCGCCTGTTCCACTACTCTCCTCAATTCAAACTCTCTCTAATTTCTCTGGGCCTCTGCCCATGCTGTGGTCCCTGGCGAAGTCCTAGCTATTTAAGAATTCCAACATCATTTCACACTTACTAACACCCCCCATGACACCCTGGAGTTGAGGATCTCCTTTCACAGCCTCTCTTCTTCCCGGATCCCCAAATTGGGACAGGCCCACCTTCCACCCAGTCAGCTCATCCTTCTCACAGGCTATCAGTCCCCGGGCATGCCCCTCCTGCCCGACTCTCCGCAGGGGGCTAGTCCCCCTTTCCTTTTCCAGTCTGAACTCCTGTTGCAGTAACCGCAGTCCCCAGAGCTGACGTCACCCCACCTCTGCTCACAGACTTCCCACGGCTCCCTAGCGACCCCGAGGACAAGATCTCAGTCCTGAAAGCCTGGTGTTAGCTGCACGTGCTCAACCTCAACCTCCCCTCCTATCACTGCTGTCACACTAAACCCCTCCTATTGCCCTGATTTCCCACTTTCATATGTCTTTGCCATCCAATACACCTTTCCCCTGCTCTCTGCGGGGGAGGCTAACCTTTATCTTTCAAGACAAGTTTTTTGTCACTTTGTATCGCTTGCTTTTGTTGTTAAGTCTCACAGAATCAGTTGCGACTCATAGGAACCCTGTAGAGAGTTTCTGAGGAGCGGCTGGTGAGTTTGAACCATCAACCTTGTGGTTTAAACTGACCTTGCAGTCCAGCACATTAACCCACAGTGCCACATCGATGGTCCAGTAGCCACGGATCAAGTTTACCCTATGGAGTCCTAGTGGCATTGTAGAGTAAGCACTAGACTGCTAACTACAAGGTCAGCAGGTCTAACCTACCAGCTGCTCCACTGGAGAAAGATGAGACTGTCTGTGCCCCATAAAGATTTGCAGTCTCAGAAACCCTATATAGGGTTGCTATGAGGAGGAATCAAGGAGCTCTGGTAGTGTAGTGGTTTACGAATCAGGCTGTGAACCTAAAGATCAGCACTTCAAAACTACCAGCTGCTCTACAGGAGAAAGATGAGGCTTTCTGTTCCCGTAAAGATTTACATCTACGGAAACCCTGTATAGGGTCACTCTGAGTCGAAACCGACTCCACGGCACCTAACAACAAAAACAACATGAGGAGGAATCAAGTTGCTGGCAATGGGTTTGGTTTGAATTTTTTGGAGCTACCCTTCAGTTAGGTACCCTAAGTGACACCGTTGTTTAAACATGCTGCTAACAGAAAAGTTAGCAGTATGAACTCACTAGTTGCTCTGTGAGAGAAAGTTGTGGCCATCTGCTTCAGTAAAGATGCACAACCTAGAAAACTGAATGGGGCAGTTCTACTCTGAGGCAGGGCTCGCTATGAATTGAAATCAGCTTATTAGCTCCTAACAACACAACAATGACTCTTCAAGGAGCCTGGGTGGGAATTGGCTACCAGTTGCCAGATTCATAGCAACCCAATAGGACAAAACAGAACTGCCGCCATGGGGCTCCCAAGGTTGTAAATCTTTACAGGAGCAGAAAGCCTCATAGCCTCATACAGCTGATAGTTTTGAACTGCTGTCCCTGAGGTTAGCAGCCCAATTCATAACCACTATGCTACCAGAGCTTCACAGCCAAGAAAACCCTATGAACGGCTATGCGGCGCATCTGCCCTTGTCTACTGGGTTGGGCGTCCAATTTTGCAAAATTGAGTACAGAAAACCTCACTCTTGCTAAAAGAAAAAATAAATAAACCTATGAAGCAGTTCTACTCTGTAACACATGGAGTCAGTAAAGAGTCAAGTTGTTCTTGGACTTTTCATGTTATTTCATCAATTTAATCCTATCACCTGCATTTTATAGGCGTGGACATAGAAAGAGGTAGAGTGATTTGGTCAAGGTGGAACATCTGGCAAGTGGCTGTGTTTTGATCTAGGCAGTCTGACAACAGAAATTGTTACATTTCATCAAAACTGGTTTACAATTCTACATTTGTATAAAACTCATAGGAGAAACCTAGCCTCATCAACACACAATTGTTGCCACCTGAGAAGGTACTGCTCTCAAACTTTGAATCCAGATTCTTATCTGGAAATGTTTTCTTGAATCTTGTCTAACAGTAACTATATGCTCTGCCAGTAAGCTCTTTTAAAAATTCCACATCTCCCCGTGATTTCTTCTGTTCCAGTTACAGTGGAAGGAAGGGAAGGAAGAGGGTCGTTTAAAACAATTCTCTGAGCAGTTGTTTGCTCTCTCTTCGTTCTGATCAGAGATTTGTGAGGAATCACACACCATCCCCAGTTACGAGAGCCTGGATAAAAGAATCAACCTTTAGTCACCACGCATGAAGAGCTGCATGTGACCTTGAGTGTCACACTTTGCTTTGAAATCCTGAGAAGCATGGTGAACTGCCAGTTCTAGAACTTCAGCAGTAGGGTACCCCAGAATCCAGAATCCATCACAGCTCTACATACGTTGCAGCCATAACACCAAACCTTCCATAGGTAGTGGCACCGCCCACTGGAAACTTTAGCTCTGTGTGAATGAAACAGCTAGACTACAGTTTACTACTTTAGCCTTGGTCTCTCCATTGTCTTTTCTAGCTTGGCTCCTGGCCACGATGTGCGTCTCCCTCCCTGGCTTCCTCTGCTAGGACCCACAGGACACCCACATGCTCCCTCCACCACTATGGAAACACATCAACACAAGAAATGATTGTTTCAAGACACCTCCTCCATCTAGCTCTACACACTTCAGAAGACAAGGTTTTCAGCTCTCTGTTGGTGTTGATAAATAATTGTTAAGTCGGTTTAGACTCATAGCGACCCTGTATAGGGTTTCCAAGGAGTGGCTGGTGAGTTTGAACCACCGACCTTGTGGTTCAAACCAACCTCGCAGTCGGTTTATCCGACAGTGCTACACCAAGACCCTATCCCTCAAGAATTCTGTGCTCTTGTAATGATACCACTTCAAAATGTCAAAACATCAGTTTAGGGACAATCAAGGGGCTCAATTCATGTTCCTTTGAAATATTCTTTGAGTTTGCAGAACACAAAGAAGTCTGAAGGGGCAAGATGAGGGCTGTAGGGTGGATGGGGGTGAGGTTTCCCAATGAAATTCTCTTAGGACAGTCCTTGCTCCTCTCAAAGACTGAGCAGGTGTATTGTCATATGTAAAGCAATTCCCCGACACTTCTTTCCTGGCCTTTTCCTCACCATTAAAAGCCCCTGTGATTGTCCTGTGTCCTTTAAGCAAATCCAAGTTGACCCTTCAGAATTCCAAATTAACAGTCACCATATAACCTTCTAAGTTTTAGATGAATCATAACCTTTCTGTCTGTTTGGAACAGTCTCTCAGAAACCACGTTTTAATTGGGATTTTTTTTTTTTTTTTTTAACGTACTCTCAGGAGAAAAGAACGTGTCTGTAGCCATTCATTGGACACAGACATGTTTCAACACATTTTGTTTGGGAGAAACTCATGCATGCATGGATTGGAACTATGGTAGCAATACTTTTTGACTTGACCTCCATAGATGGAGAGGCAGCTGCTTCATGTTGACTCCACAGTGACCCTTATGTACAGAACAAAACCTTCCCTGGTCCTCAGATTGCCAGAGAGTCCAACGTTGGAGCCATTGAACCTCATCCATCTTACCAAGAATTTCCCTGTATTTCACCAAAAACAATATCCTCTTCCAGAGATTGTTCCCTCTTGTTAACATTCTGTGGAATCCAATGTAATTGAGTTTGACAATGTTCAGCTGTGATCCCCAGGTTTTTATTGGCTAATTTATGGATGCAGATAGCCAGGTCTTTCTTCCTAGTCTTTCTTAACCTGGATGCTCTGTTGAAACCTGCCCAATCTGAGTGGCCCTGCTGGTGTTTGAAATATCAGTGATATAACTTCTAGCATCATAGCAACACACAATCCATCACAGTTAGGACAGAATGACAGACCAGCATGGGGCAAATATATTATCAACCAGTATAACACACCTGGGTTCTTTCTCTTGTACAAGAATACATCACTGACATTGGTTGGGGGCTGCAGCTGCGTGGAAGCCAGACACTGGAAGGGGAGAGAAAGCAAAAGCCAGAAATATCACCATAGAAAGCTTGTAAGTCC